AACTTAAGGTGCCATTTTTCTCTACAAAAAACCCCCATGATCAGGGGAAAATAACCAAACTTAGAGAAGAGCACATGTGAGACACAAAGCCCAGATCCTGGAAAGCTATTTTTTGCTGGCCAACACTCCAAATTAAGCTACAGCTCGCACCTCAAAGTCAGTCAATACCACTGCACCTCTAAGACTTCTTACAGGAATTATTCCATTAGATAAGCAGAACGATTTCCAACTAAGAATGCACATCTTGATGTCAATCCCCTGAGAAGCCCACTTTCAATTATAACTGTGCAAAGAAAGAAAGCACTGGTGCCTAATTCTAAAATCCCAAATTACTAAATTCTCAAAGAAACAAGGAAAATAATGAGTATTTTTCACTTACCATAGCTACACAATGTCAGGACTCACCCCAAAATTATCTACTCCCTTCTTCCCCCTCGCTTGCTTGCAATGTTTAAGCTGTAGCTCTTCAGTGATGCATTCCAGAAGACAAATGCTTCACAACCCTTAAATAAACCATAAGGACCTAAACAGTAAGTGTTCTGGAGGACAGAGGCCTGTTGGTAAGGCACTACACCTGAAGCTTTCAATGGCTTACAACAGCCATAACCAGGCAAACAACATAAGGGCTAAAGATGAAATTGTGAAAGATACCTTGCCATTGTCCTCTCAACCTTCAGCCAGCTTGAGAATGTCATGGAAGCACTGAAGCAGCAAAGAGATGATACTGCTTAGACAGCAAAATCTCCATTTCTCCCTGACCTACAAATCAGGAGCTAACAGATTAGTGGAGCCCTGGTGTACAACCCCACAGCATCTCACGGATGCTGCAGGTTCTGAACCAAAATGCATGAGCTCTGAGATACAGAAACAAACATAGCTATAAATAACACCAGCTGAAGCATGCACTGAAGATTCTGACAACCCAGTCAAGGACCTTATGGAACAAAATTCCCCAACTGTCTAAGAAAGCTGTCCTATGTGAAGAGATGCACCACACTGCATGGAGCTCAGTGTCAACTGGAGAGCAGGGCAGGGCAGCACACCCTGCCACGTGTTCTTAATGCACCTCAGGACCAGCAGTGTCACCACTGCACAACGCTGGGTGAGAATGACTGTCCTGGGCCACTCAGCCTGGAATCTGTGATCTCAATACCACAATTCTGCTCTTTCTAAATATACTCTACAGTCAAAAATCACTCGTCTCGTGGTAATTAATACCAGCTGATTACAGAGCATTACGACTTGCAGAATCAGACAAAGATACCCTTCACAAAGAGGTTTTTGGAGATAGAACTGCATATACTCAGGTTCATAGGTTTTCCTCAATGTGCTATTGCTAACAAACATTGTACATCTTGTGCAAAACCTGTGCAATGGAGAAAACACAGACTTAGGTGTCTACACAAGTACCCACTGAGCAGTTTTTTTCTAGGCTAACTCCCCAGAGGGCCTGATTTTGAAAGACATGGTTAGGCAGATCCCTTGACTTCACTGAGCCCAGCTTCTTGGAACCAACTTTAGCTGGCTCTTACTTGTTTGGAACCAGTACCATTTCCACCAGTTTTATCTAGATTGGATAAAAAACATACAACTACAAAGCAAAAGATAAGGACATAAACACAATATCAACTTTTACAGAACTGGATAAAATAATCACTTAAAGAAACCACCAAAACCACATCAAGAAGACCAGCCACTTCAGGGGTATAATAGTGTCTTACTTAGCTAAGATTCACTATTTTCAGGAAACAGCATTTGTTCCAACAGTGGTAACAGTAATGACAACCACTGTAAGAAGATACACGTTCTTCATAGGAAGGAGGAGTGACTAGATATGAGCTTCATTAACTGAACTGAGGTACTCACTAAAAGAGATTAAAACACTTAAAAATGCCACCATATTTACACCTATTGGGTAAATTACCTGATATTCCAAGAAAGGCATTTATTTTGAAGGGTCAAAATCCCAGACTACCCTGAAGCACAGTGGCAATCAATGAGTCTCATCAGGACTCTAAAATATTATTTTGTTTGATCCGTGTGCATAAATTAATGATGAGTCATAGATGCTGTCCAATTACTATTAAATGATTAGCCATTTACAGACCACACACCAAATGCTACTTCTTGAAAATGTGACTGCCAGACGGTTGATTGTCAGGCTTCCAAAAGCTTGGACATGACTGAATTGAGCTGTCTGTTCTCAGAATGATGTAGAGAACAAGCCACAAAACAACTGGTTTCTCTGGAATTAATCATCTTACATACTATGCAAAACAAATGTGACCCAAGCCAGTGAAGAAGATGCAGAGCTCTAGAACCTCAGACAGCACCACATGCAGCCTTACAGATTGTTTTGGATTGCCTGCAAAATGGAGAAACAAGGAACAAAACACCTGCACAGCAGTTTTGTTTGTTTGGGTTTGTTTTGCACAAGCTGCCTGAATAAAATAAACCCCACTTCATTACGTAAGCTGGCTGCTATTTTTCCAGATGCTCAGGTGGGTAACCACCTTGCTCCAGCACACAGGTGGACCACATCCCACCTGGAATTTAAGAGACTACTTCAAGACCTCCCTGTTCTAATTTTAATGCTTAAACACTGATGATATTGCTAACGCCCTTTCCTGAAGAACATATGCTTGTCAAAGTACATGTATACTGTGAATGTCTTGCATTATGGAAAGCATACTTGTTCTTTAAAAATGAGGATCTTGATCTCAACAGAAATCTCATTGCTAATTTCCAGGTGACACACATTAAGTCTGAGTAAGGCAGCCTCATGCAACACATCTGAAATTCCTTCCCTATTCACACTGGTGTAACTCTAGAGTTGGCCCTTTCCCCCTCACTCTGTAGAAGCAGGCAAGAAAGTAAAGAATTTGACCTAAACTTTCTCTTTTGAAGATTACTGTGATGGCTACAGGATACCCTCACAAGACACTGCCATACTCCGGTTAAACTGGAAAGACATAAACTAAATGTAATCTCACACTCAGCTGCTACAGCGTTTGTTTACAGTGTTTGTGTCCATGATTTATACTCACCCAATAAAATATTAAGAGCAACAAACCATAAAGCTGGTAGCACAAGAATTCTAACAGGTTTTCCTTGCAGTCTATCAATTCTGACACTACCCAAGATCCACCAAAAGCACTGCAGAAATAACGTGTTGCATTACATAAAATCAAACACAGAAGCTTAGTTTTATATAACTGCAATATGCATACATATGATCTTCAGGACAAGATATCTTCTCTAAACTGCAGTTCACACAAAAATTCCGAGTATAAGCAAAAGACAGCAATGTTGCCATTTCTAGTGCAGTATCTTAAACTCAATATAATGGGAATGTCCCTCTATTTGTGGCTCTTATTGGTTCTTCCAGTATTAAAGACCTGCTGAAACTGAAATCCGTTGCAGATTTTGAATTAATAAGTGCAGGTCAAAGAAGGCACTATTTTTCACCTATTTTAACCAAACATTAGCTCAAAGCTATGATCACATTAGTTGGAATTCAATTATTTATCATGACAGCAACTATAAATAAACGACACAATATATACAAATATAAATAAATGACATAAAAACAAAGTCAACTTTGTAAAGATCACCAATGTCAAATAAAATACATTCTGTGCATCTCTGAACAATACAGGAGGATAAACCATGCAGTGAAACTATACAGTCCAACTATTGTTCTTCCAAACCTTGCCTTCCTAGTACATTCCTTTAGCCAAGCAATGGGAAGATAAACCCATTTGCCTAATGAAGCATATAATTTAAATATCTCAGACAAGCATTTACAGAGATGTTGCTTAAAATAGATTTCACAGCCATGCATCCAAATCTTTTGTATGATGAAGATCCCAGCATAGTTCACAACTTATTTTTCCTATAAACTCTAAACTCTTCAGCCCTTGCAGCTACTTCAGTCACCATGCATACTCTGTATTACTTTATTACAATCTTTTTTTTCCATAGCAGATCTAATATGAAGCTGCAATTTTCCTGTTTTGCAACATTTCTAAACCCACTAAAATTTCAGATTTTACTACTGCACCATGCAGTCCTGCACAATTCTGTAAACAAAATACGCTGAAATTTATGGAACCTTAAAGGGATAGTGTACTCAATACAGACTGCAGTATTCCATCCACAGGAAGATGCAATCAGCCAATGTCAATATCCTGTCATTTACAGTCACGGTTTCTTACCATAAAATATTCCCATTAATACAAATCAGTAGGGTTGGGTTTTTCCCCCCAAACTTGTATCTAGGATTTAAGCTATTAATACGATAACAGGTCTTCACTTGATAAAAGAAATCTGCTTAGGTTTGTGGGTTTTTTCAACGAGCTATGTATCAAATTTTGTACTGTGACCTACCTAGGGCACAACAGCACATCGTAACAAGCTAAGTGCATGTTACAAGAATTCCCCCTTCCACACACACAAACAAGTGCCTACATGAAAAAAAGAGAGAATGGGGAAAAGACAATCTTTACTATTCACTTGCTAGGAGCGAGTATTTCAAAGAGTTGATCAACTTCCACAAACGTCAGATTTTAATCGTGAACCTCAATACTGCAGGGAAAGCGAAAAGTAAAAAATAACCCCAAGTTTGGCTTTTAAGTCTGTAACGCATTTCACCCTTGAGAAAAAAGGTTAATTTTATCTGGTCATTGCTACAAAGAGAGTCATCTCCTATGCACGCCACAAATAACCTGAGCAACGACTTCCCTCCAGGACAAGAGCTGCCCATCCTATTGCAGGATTATTACAATGTTGGTTTGTTTAGGGGCTGCCTCTGTGTGTGTGGCTTGCGTATGTAATTGAGGCGTCCGCACACATCAGCTCCTCGTTGCGTATCTCACAATAAACTGATGGACGCTGCTAAACCTGAACCACCAACCTTCAGAGCAAACAAAGAAGTCTAAGCCCGCAACCGTGATGCAAAATCACCCCAAAACCCGCTACACCCTGCAAGAACCTCTCACCGAAAACAGCCCGGCAGGGTCATTCATTCTTCCCAACCCAGCCATCCGCTCACCATCTCCTCCGTCTTCTCTTATCTCTCTCTGCCCCTCCGCTTATTTTCCTCGCTGCTGCTTCTGCTGCTGGATTCAAGGAGGCGGTGTACCAAAAAAAAAAAAAAAATTAAAATTAAAAAAAATACAAAGCGTCGAAAAGGCGAGCTCTCCAGTTCCGCAGCGGCAGCCGCCGGACCGCACGCCAGCCCCGGGCTCCGCTCCCGCCGCCGCTGCCAGCGCGGGGGCCGCTCCCGCCCGTCCCCGGGAGAGCGCCCGGGCTGCACCAGCTCCTCCCGCCCGCTCACCACCGACACGGCCGAGTAGTCGCAGCCGGGCTCGTTTTCCCCTCCCACCTCCACATTCCTATTTACAAAGGGTATGCAAGACCATCTTTATCCAACGGGGGCTGCGGGGGGGGCGGTGAGGGAGGGGGAGGTGGAAGCGATCATTAACCCTTTTCTTGCGTTTACCTTTCGCTACTGGGATTTTTTTGCTCCGGTTTTGGAGCACACGGGGGGATTCCCCTTTCTCTACAGAGCACGTGGGCTCGCTGCCATCGGGCCCCGCCGGTGTCCGCGCTCCCGCAGCGCGGCTTGGCCGCTCGCCACCTCTGGAGCAGCGCAGCCCTCCCCTTAAAAACGTCCAAGGGCACGGCCGAGAAACGCGCGCCCTCCCCAAAGCAGCGCTGGGGAAACAGGCGGAGAGGAGCGCGCAGCGTGGCGGGTCCCTGAGGGGAGAGCCCTGAGGGGAGGCGCTCCCAGCCCACCCCGGTGTTTTTGAGGGGGCGTTCTCAGCGCCCGGCGCTCACACCTGGGGAGCCCCGCCCGCCCCGCGCGCCAACCGGCCCCGCCAATTCCCCATTGGCCGCTCGGCCGCGCTCGCGCCCGGCAACCGCGGCCCCATTGGAGCGGCCCCGCCCCCGCCGCCCCGCCATTGGCCGGCGGGGCTGTCCGTCAGTGAGCTGGGCGGGGCTGTCCGTCAGTGAGCAGGGCGGGCCCGCCCCTCGGCGGGAGCAGAGCAGGGATGGGCCCGGGACTCGGCCCTGCCCTCCCGGCACGGGGGGCTGGTGGTCGACCCTGCCCTCACGGCACCGCAAGGCAAGGCACGGGGCTCGGCCCTGCCCTCGGGGCGCTGTGGCTGCGCGCTCGGCGGGAGCGGCGGGGAGCGTTGTGTCGCCTCCCGGGGTGGGTGCGCGCCCCTCCCCGCCCTGCCCTGCCTTGCCGGCCCGCAGCGCTGAGCCCGCGCCGCGCCTTGAAGGGTTTGTGTCCTCGGGAACTCCCCGGTGCCTCGCCCAGCTGCCCGCGGGGCATGCGGGCCCATCTGGTGTCCGAAGGCTGTGGCAGAGGGCCCGCCAGGTGCAGCGCAGCCAGGGGATGCTGGAACGCCATCCCCAGGGGTTTGTCCATCCTGCCCTTCTCACCCTTCGCAGTGGTCTGTCGCCTTCTCTCTGATAACCTAAATGTCTTGAGCTTTCCATGGCCCTATTTTATATCTTGTTATCTATCCCTTTCATTAACGTTCCTCCTTTTAATTATTTCTTGTGGGTTCCCCCCTCCCTAACCGTGGGTGCCAGAAATGCTTCAGCATTACAGTGTCTCTGTGCTGTGGACAAAGGCAGTGTCACTGCCTTGTCTCCTCCATATATCTATTTTATACATTGATTACTTTAGTCCAGTTTACCACAGTATTACCCTGAGAGGTCACATTGAAATACTTACATATAGTAACAGCTAAATTATCTCCTGAAGTACTTTTTGCCAAGGCAGCTCCCATCCCTGCATTCTTTATTTCCAGGTGTGTTTCCTCACGTTTTCTGATATTAAAAATGCAATTTATTGGACTGGAATGATTTAATTGGGCATATCAGATGATTTTGTAACCAGTCAGCCATGTGCATTATCTACTCATCTTCTAAGCTACAGATTTTACTAGTAAAGACCTTGCCTCATCTAGGCAATTGATACAGATACAAAATCGGATCAGAGCAAGAACTCATCTCTAGAATACTCCGGGTCCCAGATGTCTCCTCTTTACAACCAGTTTTTGAGAGATCTCTCACAGAAAAGATATTTAATCCATCTAAGGTGTGTTTTCTGCACTCCAAACAACATGCATTCCAGCACATAAAGAACAAGGTTTAAACAAATGTCAGGACTATTTCTCTTTTAGTTTTTGAGATTTACTCAGGGCAATTCTACAAGGTTTTCACTAAGCTTCTGCTTGTTTTTCAGCTTTCTCCAAGAGAGGTTCTGCCCTGACAGCCAGTACTACTCTCTTCATTAAGATGAAGTGGACACAGACTCACAGCCTGCTTGGGATGAGAGTATTCAAGTTTGACAAACAATGGGAGCCATACACAGATCCCCTAGAACAGGGTCTAAAAGGGACAACAATAACCAAGCTGTTTTAGGCAGAACAAAAAGTAGACACAAGAATAGAAGGAAGAGTCTGAATGGCCACCAAATCCAGTATGCACAAGTCCTTTCAGCAGACTGATTTTGTGAAACCTCTTAAAAAGCTTTTTAAATTACTCTGAGGTTATTCTATCTTCCCATATGAATTAAAAATAACAAAAACAAACAGTTTTTCTTCCCATGGACATTACTGCTACTGAAAATATGCAGGTTTATCATCTGAAGATTTTTAATGGGTATCAAGCATAGAAGGTAAATAATCTTTGTTCACAGTGATGAGTCTGTACTTGGAGCCTGGAAACAGTGACAGAAAGAACAATACATTACAATTAATGTGCATGCATTTTACCAGTTTCAATGTAATGGAGATTTGTATAATTTGTCTACTTATTCATCAGATAACTTTTAAATAACAACTCTGTGCCTGAAAGCATAAATACATTTCAGGTTTATATGTATCAAGGTAATAACTGCAATCTATTATTGTATTTCAGAAGCAATAGTACAAAGAATGATGATCATATACTCACCCAGTAATTTTCATCAGCAGATCTCAACAGACCTTGTGAAGGTCAATGTGATCATCCCACTGATGATGATGGAGAAAGAAAGCATTGAGATGAACTTGCTCAATGTCATGTGCCAGAGCAGTGGTAAAGCTGACACTTTGACTTCAGCTTTTCTGCATCCAGGATGAAAGGCTTTGCCTCACAAACCACGTTACACATCCATATACCCCTGAGAGTTCTTTTAATTAGTGGTTTGTATCCTTTGTGTACTCTGTTTATCAGTGTTAGAACCTAGGAGAGCATTCAAGGCTTTTATGGTGTCCCTTATAGGCTTCACCATAAGAGATTTTGTCATTTACAGGTTTCCACTGAAACCTTCTATTGCCACATGTGAAGAAAAAAATCAGAAATTTTGAGATCTTGTTTGAAAACCCCACAAGTAAGTTAATATTTAATTGTGACAAAAAAGTGGCCCAGATTCAATCTCAGCCTAAATCTGCAGATGCAGGTAAAATTACTAAATGTTTGATTATTAGTTCTGATGATGCTGTGCTTAATAACTGAAAACAAATTTGATGTTGTCACTTGTATTTTCCTCAGTCCTCAGGAAAGCTGTCCTGGCTGGAATTTATCCCATCGCAAGCTCTGGAGCTCAGTGACTTTGGGGCCTTCGTGGAAGCAGAGTCTGCTGAAGGAGGTCATGGGAACAGCAGTCCAGAGAGCAGCCTTGATCTAGAAGGGTCAGGAGCCACAACCTCACTTGTTCTAGAGGGGCTGGGAGTTACCTCCAAACTCACCAAGTGTCAACAGTCCAGTCCTGGGTGCGTCCGTCCTTGGAGGTATGAGCCCTGTGCACCTCGGATCAAGCATTTTAGGTTATTATTTCACACCCTCATAGAACCATCACATTTGGAAGAGACCTTTAAGATCATCAAATCAATGTGGCACTACCACTGTCAGCCCTAAATCACATCACTGAGCGCCACATCTTACACACCTCCAGGGTGGTGACTCCACCAGGGCAAGGGGTGTGTCCATGCAGGGGAAGGGTGTGGATCCCAGGGAAAATGTGTGGATCCCAGGGAAGATGTGTGGATCCCAGAGAAAGTGTGGATCCCAGGGACAGTGTGTGGATCCCAGAGAAGCTGTGTGCATCCCAGGGAAGGTGAATGGATCCCAGGGAAGCTGTGTGGATCCAGGGAAGCTCTATGGATCCCAGAGAAGCTGTGTGGATCCCAGGAAGCTGTGTGGATCCCAGGGAAGCTGTGTGGATCCCAGGGAAGCTGTGTGCATCCCAGGGAAGCTGTGTGCATCCCAGGGAAGCTGTGTGTATCCCAGGAAGCTGTGTGGATCCCAGGGAAGCTGTGTGTATCCCAGGGAAGCTGTGCGGATCCCAGGGAAGCTGTGCGGATCCCGGGGAGCTGTGTGGATCCCAGGGAAGCTGTGTGTATCCCAGAGAAGCTGTGTGTATCCCAGGGAAGCTGTGGATCCCAGGAAGCTGTGTGTATCCCAGGGAAGCTGTGTGTATCCCAGGGAAGCTGTGTGCATCCCAGGGAAGCTGTGTGTATCCCAGGGAAGCTGTGTATCCCAGGAAGCTGTGTGTATCCCAGGGAAGCTGTGTGGATCCCAGGGAAGCTGTGTGTATCCCAGGGAAGCTGTGTGTATCCCAGGGAAGCTGTGTGTATCCCAGAGAAGCTGTGTGTATCCCAGGGAAGCTGTCTGTATCCCAGGGAAGCCGTGGGTGGGCAGTACTCTGGAGGAGGAGCCGGCTCCTCCCGGCCCGTCCCCCGAGGGGCGGGCGCTGCCCCGGGCCGGCCGCGCTCCGGAAGCGGCGCGGGGGACGCGGAGCCGGCGGCGCTGCGGGCGCTGGGTGAGTGAGGGCCGGGGGGCCCGGCCCGGGGGAGCCTCCTCTGCCACGACCGGCCGGCAGCTGGCGGGCTCCGCTCTGGGGGGGCTCCGTGTGCCCCTCCCGGCCACCGGCAGGGCCCTCCCGGCACGCAGAAGGCTGTGCTGAGCGCCATTTGCTGCAGGTTTTCATCCTATAAATGCTCGCATTGGAAGGGCCGGCTCGCCCCTGTTCTCTGGCTGTGCCGTGGGTGGTGGCCGGTTGGTTCCTGCGTCACGTACAGGAGCAACTGTAATTGTACAAGAGTAATAAAGTAGCTTTTTAATTAATTTTTAATATGCGGTGACACTTTGAGGGCAAGAAATTGCCACGGAAAGACGCTGGGAACCACTGACTTCTTTTGGTGGTTCCTCGCTGAAGAAAACCTAAGAATTGTGCAAGCTAAAAATACAGCTTTTGCCTGGGAAAAAAAAGTCCAGCAGAAGGCTGTGGGTCTGCAGATCCGTGCCAAAGGAGAAGGTTGTACTCTTGAGAAAGTGGGGGAAAGGCTGTTCCACTCCATCCTTGCAAATGCTTCTAAAACATGCTGTGGTGAAAGGTTATATTTGCTGGCCTTTGTTTCTCATGGGAGCTGTACAGCGGACCTAACCTAGCAGGAGAGAAATTAGGCAGCTGAAAATAAAATGGGCTCGTTAAACTTGGGAATGGCAGGCACCTTACATGGTATTTTCTGTTTTTCGTAAGCGTTGTACTTTGCATTGTTGTCTCTTGCAGTGAAGACTGGCTCTTCACCTTGGTAGGGTTACAAACCCTGCATTAGTTATAGTCTGTATACAGAGCAGCCTGAAAGGCATTAAATTAGAGATCTGTCTATTCCACCTCCTCTTTAACTATTGGTATTGCTACACAGGAGCATGTGCTGCACAAGGGAAGTGCAAAAATAAAACAGTAAAATGCTTTAAAAATGCAGCCATGAGACACTTTTCTCTCAGAAAAAAAATTAGATTACTTTTTAGAACTAATCAGTCATCTCTCTTTTTGATGGTTTTAAAGTTTTGTATTAAAAAAAAATTTCATTCCACTAGTGCAAGAAAATGCATCCAGTTTTATGGCCCTTTAATGGGCACTCGAGGACTGTAGTGTTCAGCTTCATTTGGACATGATCAAGAAAGACAGTAAAATAGTTTTGGACTCTGCTGACCATGAGTTATTGTTGTGGTAGGTAAAAGTAGCAGATTCCAGTGATAAATGATTTTTAGCTGTGTTTTAGACTGCACCTAAACAATAGTTTTGGATCAGTTGAGAAGCAGTGGAGATCACTGTGGTAACTGACAGGTGTTATTTATGATGCTTCATTTGTGAAAACAAACTACATAACAAATGGCTTCATTTTTCAAAGCCTGCTACTGGGAATTCTTAAGGGTAGAATAGTTTTATGCCAAATTGTGAACTGATTGCCCCTAATCAACCAAATGATGGTAGAACCCTATGAAAAGAGCTTACACAATCTATCATGTTTGGGTCTCTTGATAGTTCCTCTAAACGCTGCCTTGTGCTGGTTGTGTATCCACTCGGGCTTTGAACAGATCCTTGAGGCGAGCAAAACAGCCCGTGCTGTCTGACAGAGCCCGGTGGCACACAACGAGGACGGCGGTTCCTTGAATGCCATTTCCAAATTAGCGGTGCCATTTGGAGCAGAACGCGTAATTACAGCATGTTTGGGATTCTCGACAAGCTGGTTTGTGTGTGCTGGGCGTAAGTTGGACAGCAAACTAGAAACATTACAGAAACAGGAGGTTGTTGCTGATCGTGTCATCCTTGCTAACTGTTGTCTTACTGACTAGGGATAATCAAACCAGAATTTATAAAAGCTCATTATCCAGAGAGCAGTAAGGCTTCACTGTCTCCACCACAGAGCGGAGGGGTTTTTTCTCCCTTTCTGCAGACTTTGCCATGTTTCACAGTGGGTATATTTTGGCTTGTCTTCAAAAAGAAAACCTTCTGGCAAGTGTTGCGCCAGTTTAGCCTTTTGTATTTGAACTAAACCACCTCCTGCATCTCCAGGGGTGCTTCTGAAGACTCATTTTCTGCTCGACAAGTCAGCTTTTGATCAAGCTTTGGCCTTGCTGTAGGATCCAGTTGCAAGTGGAAGTCGGTGCTGGCCTAATCTTTTTCATCTTCTCATCTCCTCGGTCTGTGGGGACTGAGCTGTGTGAGGAGGAGGCTGCTGAGCACATCTGCTTTGAGGTGGCAGCTCTGTGCACAGTGCTCGTCTCACCCCCGTAGTTGCAGCACCCGCTTTTCTGTGAACATGAGCTCAAGAGGATGACACCTGTATAAAGAGTTTTCTCATTGAATATTTAGGTACTTATGGTATCTATGACAGCTTCTCTTCAGGTTTTTTTCCTCTTAGTGTTTGTTAATTGTTGTGAATTTCAGAATATCCCAGTTTGAGTCTGACTTACAGCGTGCTTCTGTTTGAGAATTTTAAAGCTAACATCCAGCCCTGGGTATAAAACCACAACAGGTGTTGCAAGTGCAGTGTTAGCCTTGATCAAAGAAGGTACCAAAATACATTGCTTGCCTCCTTTGCCAGTTAAGTGTTGCTGCTATTTTAAGGGGTAGCTCTGTTTTATCTGACTTAACACTTCTGTCTGAATCAAAAAAAAGAAAGGTTGGGCTGTTTATGTAGGACCTATAAACACTTATGCTTGTTTCAAGGCCGGCAGGTGGAGCCCGAGATAATAACACTGGTTTGATATTTGGAGTTAATAAAACCACAGATGTAACTTAAACTACTGTAATAACATCAGGCAAGGTTGATGGGGTGATAAAAAGATGGTTCTGTCAAAGCAGTAGTAGAAAGGTATTGAAGTGTTGAAAATACTTGTCCTTCTAGATAATTGTGCTGAGTGTTACAAACTTACTCTACTGCTGTTTTCTGACTGGCAGTTTCTGTGTAAGTTTTATGTGGCCAGTAATTTTGCACAAACAGCTGGACTGAATTGATTATTTGAAGGGAACTCAATACATCAGCTAATGGAGCCTGAAACATGTTTATTAAAATAGTGGTCTTATGAGTGATTAATTGCCAACAGTTTTTTATTGAGTAATCCATTTAATTGTCTGGCAGGACACCTAATGAATACCAGGAGCCATATCTCCTTAGTCAGCAGGAGTAGTCAGCAACAGTTGTCCATTAAAACTGTATTTTATATCCCTGCTTTCACCAAGTGGCCTTCTTTGCCAGTAAAAAGTTTCCTGGTGGTGATTTAGATGGAAACTTCTCAGCTGTGGATTTGAGGGGATCTCTTCTGAGCTGTGAGTGTTGTTTCTGAAATAGGCCTGGTGACATAGAGCAGCTGGGGCACACACCCTGAGTTTTGGGAAAGCTGCCAAGGTCTGTGTGTAGAAGGTCCAAGTCTTCCAGGACAGGTAGTTCAGTTGTACAAGTCCAGTATGGTTGCAGTCTATGTTTTCTATGTAAAGCTGCCTGTGGGTCTTTTTAAACACCTGGCTAGTAAAGCAGTTATCCAAGATTCAGGACTGCATCTTTAATTTATGATTAATTTCTAAACCAGTTGTTTAGGGATTGACTTGATAGAGGCAAAGAAAGTCAGTACATTGCAATCCTTAAGCTTCAGCACAGAAGCAAGTTTATCCTTTTGTAATCTGCAGTGTAATAGATAATCTTAATTTACATTTCAGGCTATTACAGAATGACCTTGCATTGAGCCTTTGCTGAGGAACCAAGATTTAAACATCAGTTCTTCAATGTGCATCCTTCTATTCAAGTTTGACCCCCGCCCAGTTTCAAAAAATGCCTACAGGTAAGATTGTTCCACTTAAACCAGACCTGCTTCTGTGTTTTTACTCCATTTCTTTCTGTATCCAGTACACAAACTGCAAACTCAAGTCAGAATGATGTGTTCTGCTGTGCCTTTGTAGTGTTTACCTTCACGACTTTCCCCATTGGAGGATTTATTGTAACCCTTTGAGGACCCTTTGTTTTTAGAAGTCAGAAGACTGGGGCTTTGCAATCCCAGACCTTTAGCTGGTGATCTGTCATGTGCTGTGTAAGTCCTTTAAATATTGTACTCCAGAGTTTGAAAGTCCTGCTGCTTTCTTCAGCATTTGAACTAAGGTAAATTGTGTTTGTTGGGCACTGCAGGTGCAGCTGTCCCCTCCTTTCAGTATGGTAGATAAGCTTAGGGTTTCCAGTTTAAAAGCAGTTTTAAAGGAACTTACAGTAAGTGTCCTAGCCTTCCCCCACCCTAAAATCTGCTTGCAATTAGAATTGTAGGTAATAAACTAAGTCACGTGTAGGAAAGGGTTGGCCCAAACCTGAAGACCAAATAAGCATCCAGGCTTCTAGGTAAGTTTGTAAGGATGTGTGGATGGCATACAGGGAGTTTCCAAAACATTAAACTTCCTCTCATTACAGCCCTCCCTTTTTAAACTTCATATCCAACAGCAGCAGCTTTGAGTACCCCGAGTATGCAATAGAAAGCACTTTAGGCCAGTGAGCAGATTGTAAAGTTTTATTGCTTTCTGTATTTCTATGTACTGCATAGGTTCCACTTTATTTTGTGGGGTACAAGTATTGGTATTCATCCAGAAACCATTACAGTCAGGATGCTCAGGAAATCCTTGTGGCTTTCACTGACTTTTCTGCCTTGTTGTATTGAGAAGTAGATGCCATTCCACAGAAAGAAAGGAAATGAGAACCCAAATCTCAGTTGTCCATAGAGTGCATTCCTTTCTGCATCTGGAATCTGCCTAAAAGGGGGTTTTGTTTATGATGTGACTGGTGCTGAATTAATATCCCCATTTATTTGGTCTGACTCTCTTTGTATTACTAGTTAGTGAGAGACAGATTCAGCAATTTGATGCCTCTTGGGAAAATGCTCTGGATGTCAGCTGTAGTTGCTTGCCAAGTGAACTTTCTGCCACAATCAATATTTAAAAGTAAAACTTACAGTAGTTTGCTTGCTATAAAAAATTGCATCGAGATTGAAATTAATAATTTATGTCAGAAAACAACTTGCTGTCAGTGTCAGAATAGGACAACACTTTTGAGATGTTTGGCCCAAGTTCAGGAGTGTTTAATTGTATCTAACTTTCTCGGTAGCTCTTGTTAAGCAGTGTCTTGCTCTGTACCTCTGAGATAAACACTCTGGGCCATCTGTTTGGGAGATAAGTGCCAGGCCACAGTGTTCCTGGTGTCAGGTTTTACCCTCAGATACATAACTTTAGTCCCCTATTTATTATTTTTTGTCCTTAACACACCCTAACTAAATCTTTTTCCTTTTCTTTATTTGGAAGAATGTCGAAGTTCTTTCTTTTTAAATTGTTCCTAAGGTTTTTTTCACCTTTGCTTCAGCTTTCTTGAGGACACAGGTCTGAGTATGAGCTGGGAACAGTACCCAGCCCTCCTGATTGGTACCCGTTAGACCAAGTTAGACATCTCTGGACTAGTCCTTGCTGAGTGTCATTTTTCCTGGCAGCATCACTGTACTATGGCTCTGTTGACTTCATGGTGAGGTCTTGGAACGGTTTTCCCAACCAAAAGGGGATTCCTGTAGGTGTATTAATTTGTCCATTTAAAGCAGGCAATTGCTTCCCTCACTGTTCTCTACCTTGCATCTCAAACTAGAAGGGTGTCTGTAACGGGCATTAAGAGTTGAAAAGACAGAGTGCTCATGGTTGGCAAAGTTTACTGGCTGGAAGCAAATGGCCAGCCTACACCTTGTTCTCTGTAACCCTGGGCAGAGTTTGGCACCGGGGTCATTTCCACCAGCACCTCGTTGTGCAAAGAGCTCCGAGCTCAGCCCCAGAGCAGAGCTGTGTGCCTGCAGCTCTGCAGCTTGCCCTGCCTGCTCTCTCTGGGCCTGTTGCAGCAAAGTCCAGTGCAGTGGAACAAGCCCTCCCCTGCAGTCCATTGTCACTGTCAGAGGTAACAGCTGCCTTTACACCTTCCTCAGCTGTGCCCTGTGCATCTTACAAATAAATACATGTCTCAAGCTTCAAAGCTATAATCACAGAGGCTTTTTTATGGAGCTGAATTGCATTGTAGGAAATTGCTTTAATGGAATGATTTCTCATGTTTTCATCTCTCTCAATATTAAAATAAATCTTAATACGTAAATCCTAATACAGTTGAATTATTTCAGCTATAACATGGCTGAATAGGCTTTTTGCAATTTATTAGAAGATGAGGGTCACTTAATATTCCTCCTTTTCAGTGTGATTATGTTTCATAAAAGACAAAATAAAGATGGTTTTATTATTATGATCTTGTATGCTAGCCTTGTGATAAATTTAGGAGTCTGCATTAAACTTGAGATAGGGAATATTCAGTCACACCAGAGACACTTCACTTATTTTTGGTATTTAGATACTATAAACAAACCATGGTTTCAAGTCAAGAATTATTGAAGGCAAATTGGAGCTTCAGGAGAGGAAAAATGCACTTTAGCCAAACTGTGTTTTAACAGTTTGTGGTGATGTTAATTTGAATAAAAATCTGCAAAACAAGTCTGCACGATATAAATGTAGCATATTAGAGTAAGATGACAGAAATTTGGAAAACCAACTGAAAGCCTATAGGTCAAAGAGGAGAATCAGCTAGAAGAAGAAAAATTACACAAGTTTGAAAGGAACAATATTATATTTTCGTCAGAAAGAAAAAAAACGTACATACAGTTTGGCTTCCAACAGGTGCTTCTTTGTTGGGCAAAATACAAAGCACCTGCCTTACAGAAAGGGTGCCATTGAAGTGGGAGGGTTTTTTACTTTCTCTGTAGGTGATTACAGTTCTTTTTCTAGGGTATTTCTAATGCTGCTAACTCAAGCTCTTGTTTATAGATACCCTGCATCTATTTGATGCTGCAATAAGCAGTTAAATTTAGTGATGCTGTCTTCCCTTGCTTTTGAATAAAAGTGTTCACCTCCTCAGTTTCAGAAGATGGATGTGCAGTCAGATTAGCCCAGACTTTTCTTTCCAGTGTTCCAGGGCTGACACTGCTGATGAAATGAGTGTAGCACACATTCATTAAGGGCTTTGTGTGGTCTCTAAGGAGTACCCAAAGAAAGTTGCTTTGTTTTAATAACTTCTGCTGGATGAAATGGACACAGAAACAGTTTTTTTCTTTCAGAGGCCAAGAATGGAGGGTGTTCCAAATTCCTGTGGAGCTGTCTGGCTGTACTGACTCATTAAAACTTATCTGCTCCACATTCATAGCCTGACTGCCTTGAACTGGTGTTAGCATTGAATCTGAGTGATCTGCACTGCTGCAAAGACTGGAACTTGAGGAAGACCTGTCTTACCTTGCCTGCCTGCTTCTTCTTAAATATCATGCTGAACTTGGGTCTTTCAAGTGTGAAAGTGCCATTTATGATAATTGTCAAAGTTCAGAGATAACTGTCAAAGTACAAAGTACAGATTTTCTAAAACTGTCAAATTTTAGATGGCACGTGAAGAGCTGCAGCGTGCTTTTTGTCAGGACAGCACTTGGTCTTGTGGAGTGATGTGTTTATTTCTAAAGATAAATAATGGACTTCATCCAGCAACATTTTTCAATTGCATATTATTTTTCGTAGCTTCTTCCTCCCTCCTGACGGTGCCACCTCCTACTGTTCTGGCAGAACTCAAATTATTCAAGCAACTATGGATGCAAAAAAACCCCAGCCCACAAAGCAACAAAAATCGGGGAAAAAGTGCCCACCAAAATATCTCTTGAGTGTTACAAAACCTTTTCCCTTTACTCCTCTGCCTCCTTGAGCATACTGTCATTTCATCCACGAATTTCTGTGGGGCTGCACCTCTGACACTACCACAGATTTCTCTCTGCTCTGAGTACTTACAAAACCATCTGACTGGTGTCTTTGAACCCCATAATTAGAGCTTTAGGTGTCAAAGATAGATTGAGAAATACTGTGACTGATGCTGAGCAGTGATCTGGTAAAAACATACTCTTTGTGCTTCAGATTTTTGGGGAAGTTACCTATGAATCCGTGGGTTATCTTCACGTTTTCTTTAATGAAGCTGTAACTTCATGCTGAGGAATCTTGTTTATGTGCTCTAAATTCAATCTCTTCCATGGTAAGTATTGTTCTGTGAAAATAATATCTGCCTCATTCACTCAGCAAGATGGACTTGCTGCCTCAGGGCAGTGAGAGACAAGGCTGCTGTCAGATGTCATCTGGGCTCTCCACTGAGTGATAAAGGTGAGATGGGAGGATAAAGGATGGTTTCGTGCTTAAAATGAGCTAATGCTGTGGCAAAAATTGGATTCTGTTCCTGCCTGCACTGTGAAGTTCCAATTTGTAAGTAATAGTGTATTTTTCCTCCTGTGTTCCACAGGCTCATTCTAGCAGCTAATAGAGATGAATTTTACCACAGACCATCCAAGTCAGCCGAGTTTTGGGACAGCAGCAATGAGATCCTCAGTGGTATGTGTGTCTTGCTGTTTTGAGAGGTTTGCATGTCATTTGTAAGGGAACCATGGCCTGGATTTTTTTGTTATTAGGGTGGTGGTGTTGCCTTTCTAATAAGAAATTTGCTTCTTCCTATACTTCTGAGGAAAACAGGTAAGTTTGAAAGCTGAGTTGTGCTATTATTATTATCTTATTTGTGTTTTGTTATCTTGTGGGGTTTTTTACCAGTTTTACATTTTTAAACTGATTTCAGTCCTAGTGGTGCAGTAGAAATAAATCAGATTAATTGCTCCCTCACAAATGATTACTTTAGCTTTGTCTGATAAATAGGTGGAATTAGTTTGTCTTAAAACAGGTGGAATTAATTATTCCACAGACTCAGGGTCTGTAATATTGACTTGAAATCATTCAACAAAGCCTCAGAAACATGAAAACTTCCTCATTTTTTATTGGTCAGTAATTTATACAGAATAATTTTAGCTATTGATCCTTCAGTTGATTAGCTTTTGTGTCTACATCCTGCAAACTGATATTATAGTCCCTCAGCTGTCTGGTTCTCCTTTGTGGGGAATCTGTAGTAATTTTCAAGTATAATCAATACTTCTGCCTTTTCTCCGAAAAAGAAATGAAGCTCTGGAAGACAAAGCATTGTTTGAATGCAGCGTTCTGACTTTGCAGATACTCTTTGTTGATGCTGTGTGTGATTGGCACTGACAAGGAGGTCTGTGAGGAGGAATTACTCCCACTGTAGCACGGCTCCCTTGCTTCTGCAGCTGTGCCTGGTGTGTTCCTGTGTGTGCCAGACATTCAGGATTCTGCCTCCCCTGCTGTGTAACTGCCTGAACCACAGAAACAAAAAGCTGGCCTGAAAACTGAGGGGCCCTCAAGTCTTGTTTTTGTCCCCCTGTCAGCTCTGGGCATATTTGGCCTAAGAAGCTGGTGTACTCTCCATGTGGGAGTGTGTGTGGAGGTGCCATGGATCTGAGATGCCTTGAGCTGGTAACCTTGGGGACTGCACTTTCCTGGGCCCCCCTCCTCCAGTGCTGTCACCAGAGCCCAAGATGTTTATCAGTTACCCAATCTACTGTAAATGTTTCTGGTGATGTGTGAATTTAAACTTATATATATATATAACATTAATCTTCTGGGATTTGCTTTTGAGCTAACAAGCATTCTGAGCCTTCTTAAAGCTTCATGTGTACTTTAGCATACAGGCAAAGCTTTTAATTTTGCTTTTACATTGAATTTTCTCATTATCTCTCATCTGTTATTGCAGTTGCTTGGAAAATACTTGACAGGGCAGAATTGGAGGGCAGGTAATTTAAGTGGGCTTATGTCACCTATCCAGAAAACAATCATGCACCTACTGCATTTTATCCAGCCTGATGAAAACTCAGCATTTGTATTAAGAAATTCTGGAGATGTTTTTAAACAAATTTAATAACCGAACTCTTACTTATTCCATTAGGTCTGGATATGGAGGAAGGAAAAGAAGGTGGGACATGGCTGGGAATCAGTAAGAAAGGCAAGATGGCAGCCCTGACAAACTATATGCAGCCAAAGATTGATAAAAATGCAAAAGGAAGAGGTATGAAAGAAGAAGAAAAAGAAAGTGAACCAACAAGCCCTGGTGTTCCAGTAAAATAGTGATGATTACAGTATTAATTTTCCTAACAACACAGCTTTATGGGCAATTAGAATGTTTATGTGCTGTAAACAGAATTTGTGAACTGATGAGTTGGAGTACCTGTGTGAGAAACTTAACTTGGATAATGATTTTCTGATCAAACAGGCAAAAGTAAAACAAGATGTAGTGCCTAGAGCCTGAAGTTACATTCAGACAAGAAATGCAGCACAAACTGTCTCCTCTTGAAAATAATTCTAATTAACAGGCAGAACAGCTAGCCAAGCATTGAGCTAGATTAGATTACAGCAGACTTTTTTAAATGTATATATTCATGTTCAAACACCTATGTCAGGGAATCAATACTTGAGTTATGCTGGAGGTAGCCTAAAAGATTATTATAGTCTCTTCTTCCCCTAGATGAGAGGAGCAGAAATATAGGAAAAACCCTCTTTTGAAGAGGATTCTCAACAGAGCACATCTGTGGGGCTTTTTTGAGTAAAAATAGGTCTCTTTGTCATAAGCTGCTGCATTGGGAATATATTGTAATAACAAAAGATGTTAGACAAAGAAAACAAATGAACCACGTCACTTGTATTTCATTTTAGGGTCATATATCAGGGAAATGAAGCAAGACAAGAAAGAATTTGTAAGGTGGGAGGAGAGGAAAGGCTCATGCAGTTTAGAATAGTTAGTAATATGAATTCTGTGGAATTTTTGACCGAGTTCTTCAGAGTAAAAGTCAAGCTCTTAATAGGAATGTGGTCCAATGATGTAAGATTTTTAAGGCTGGTTTGTTACTTGGTTTGATTTTGGGTTTTTTCCCACTGTCACAGCCTGTTGGCAGCAGGAATCTTTATCTTGCTGTTTGTTTTAGCAGGCCTGTCAGGATAGTGAGCTCACACGTATTTGTTCTGTGTACTTCTCTTCCTTAGGTGCTCTTGTAACAAACTTCTTGACTGCAGATCTGGACAGCTACTCTTACTTGAAGAAAGTTTCAGTAGAGGGACATCTTTACAATGGATTTAATTTGTTAGCAGCTGACTTGAAGTAAGTCTAAAACAGCACAGTTCGGGTGCCAGAGGGAGCAGTGTTGTACATACCCCTCACAGCACAGATGTGTAACAGCGCAGAAGCCTGACACAAACTGAAGTTAGAGCTCGTGGGTTTTGCTAATTGGCATGGAAGGTCCTAATGTTACTGTAGTCATCATTTCCTGTGGTACTTTTTTGTCTGTCCAGCACTGGAGGACTGTCTTGTGTTCTGATCGTTGCTTCCCACAGAGCTCCGTGTGACTCCCTGAGAGGCCACAGCCAGGCTTTACCCTCAGGGCTCTGTGGCTTGGGTTTGGAGAAAACAAAACCTCGGCTCCATAATTTCTCAGGTGCCTTTTTTCTCCTAGAGGTGACGTGCTGTGGTGGGATCAAAGCATCTGAAAGCTTTCAAGATACCTTTCCTGTCAGAGGAGCTGTGTCATTAATCTTTCCTGAAACATTGAAAATCAGCACAAGACAGCTACGTTAGCTCAAAGTTTCTGTAGCTGAAGAAAGGATCTTGGATACTTGACTATAACCAGTGTGGTTGGGACAATCCTCCCCACTGCATGTGCCTGTGTGTCAGTTCACCAGTGCGTATGCTGAGTGGTTTTTGCATTGTGCCTGATGGAGAGGAAGGGAAATCCAGGGCTGGGTCACGTCCAGGCCGTGAGTCCGTTCCCAGGTGGGTCCTCTCCATGAGCACAGGCACATACAAATTGCCCAGAGCACACCCCTGCTTTGGCACACTCTCTGCAGCAGCATTAATCTTATTAGACAACCCCATGGTGCTGGGCCTTCTCCCACTCAGCTTCTCTGCCTGCTTCTGGGAAGCCACAGGCACCTGAAGCAGCAGGTCACAGTGCTTGCTGTTCTGAGTGGAAATGATTTCCAGCACCCTCTCACTAACCAGCCTTGCATTTACATTTTTCACTGTCTGCATTGGACCCCCTTCAGCTGGTGGTTCGGACTTACTGGTCAGTTCTTCCTTACTCTCCCACTTTCCTGCAAGAAGATATTACAGTGGATCTGATTGATGTTATTTAGGGCAGTCATCCCTGTGTTGGTTTTGTTTGGTTATTGCTCCATGCTGGACTGATAGGGAATTGTATCTTCAATTGAATAGTCTTTCCATGGTGATACAGATCATAATTCCTTGCTGAGTATCACTCTGAAAGCTGTGTGTGTTGATTAATTTCTCAGTTTTGACAGGTCTTTAGCCTTGGATAATCTGAACAAGGTTTCAGAGACTGGGCTGGTCTCTAAGTAAATGTCTGCTTAAGATCCAGAGCAGTTTCCCTTCTTTCTCCATCTGTGACAGTGTCTGAAGTCAGTGAGCTGCTTTTGGTGATGATCAGGACATCATTTCTGTCCTGGGAAACCTGCATTTATGTCCAACAATCTCATTGCTACAGGCACTTAGACTTCCATGGGTATCTCAAACCTCTGCCAGGGCTGTTGTGGCAGCATCTCACTTGTGTTCTTACTGCCAAGTGTGTAATACAGAGTGCCCTGAAGGACAGATGGAATTGGCAGCTTCTTGTCGCTCTCCCAGCAAGTTTGGTCTCTGACAGGTTGTCACTTAGAGCCCATACAGTTTGTGTGCTGTAAGATCCCTGTGTAGCAGGAGTGAATCACTTTCTCCAGGAGGGATAGACAAATTGTCCCTTCCAGAACAAGTCAGCTGGAGGGGGCTGCAGAGATGCCTTCCAGGTAAGCTCCTCTGCTGTCCCTGTCAGCCAGTCGTCAGTCCCTCCAGGGGAAATGCAGTGACTGCACCATCAGCCGTGGCTGTGCTTCAGTGTGGGCACCAAGGCTGGGCTGTGTGGGCAGGATTTGATTGCTCTCCAGGGATCAGATCTAGGAGCCTTTCCAGTGAAAAGTGAGACAGGGTCAGAGTGCTGCTGTGGAAGGAGGTTGTCAGGTTGTCAGGACTGCTCTGTGAGCTCACTGACATCTCTTCTCTTGCACTGTCAGTCCTAATGCAATATCACCTTTTGCAGAGTACACCTGTCTGGCTTCTTGTGGCTCCCTCATGAAAATGAGGTGTCCAGAAATATTTCTGCATAGATCTTCAGTCATTTCCAGAGGATAGATGGACAGTCCAATGTCAAAAAAAGGAAAAAAGCTTCTGAACAACTTTTTTATTTTATCTCTTTCCTCTGGTGCCACTTTCTGCCTGGCCCAAAATCTAAGGACAACACCAAAGAAATGTTTAGACATTGACAGCAAAATCAGAGTAATACTTTAAAGCAGACCTTGTATGCTGTGAATATCTGGCAGAATTCTTTTCACCATTTTATTGGATGGTAGGTGGTATATCTTTGGGCATTGTAGTTGGTGGTTTGGCGTTTGCTTGTGTGTTTTTAGTTTCAGAACAGAAAAGATTTTCTGATTAGCTCATGAACATTGAAGAAAAGAAAATCTGTGAACTGTATTACTTAGCTGAAACTACTGTTCAGCATTTCAGGCTGCCAGTTACCTCTTCTGTCCTTGCACAGAAATATGAGCACACATTATTCATAAAACAGTCCAGTGTCCTTGTTGAGATACTGCCCTGTGAGCAGAGCAGAGCCCAGGGGAGTGATCCCTTGGGGAGAACCACCCCCTGTGCAGCTTCTCTGCCTCACTGCTGCTCTCCTCTCCTCTCCTCTCATCCGTGGTGGTGTCCAACGTGACCTGAGGCCACCTTGAAGCTGAAGCAGGGCAGGGCAGCAGAAGGACACTGCTTATGTTTCATCAGCATTAGGAAGTGATTGTGGCAAACTCTGCGTGGCTTTCATGCTGCTGTGAAGCTTCTGTTTCTACTGAGATTTATGCTGCCTGGAATATTTCCTGGAACATTTATTATTGCTTACATTTTTTGACAGAATGATGTATCTAAGAGCATAATTTTTGTGCAGTTTTAGTTTCTTTCTGCTGTCAGCTGTGGCTGGGATTTAAAAATAAGCCTACTGGGCCCTATTGTGATCACTTTAATTATGCCTTTATTACTTCTCCAGTGAAATTGGTATCTATACTTGTAAAGCTGGAAGGGAAGAGAATCTGAGCACGGGCCAGGGTTTTGAGGCTATTGCTGTGATCAAGTTTATAGTGATTTTTTTTCATCTTGGCTTCTGCCTTGACGTTCAGTACCGAGTATCTGTAAACAGTAGGAAGGGAATAGGCAGAGCCAAATGACAAAAAGAAGAGAAGCTGACTGGCACAGTGAACTAAATTTTGAAAGTATGCCCATTTCAGAAGCCTCTTGGGAGGCTTCAGTCTTCCTTTGACAGAAGACAGCAGCAGTGCTGCAGTGGAGGTAAGTGCAAACACACATCTGGGGGAATGTGGAAACAATAAGATACAGCTGTCCTGAATTAGTGACCCTGCAGTTTGAATGTATTCCCCTTCTTTTTGTTAAACTCCAGGGGATCTTGTTACTGAACCTGTCAGTCACGAGAGCCTCAGCACAGATGCTGGATGATAATATTCTTTCCCATAAAGAGCCATTGCTAAAGGAAGCCAGCAGTGCCTGTTTACACAGCAGGCAGTCACATCTGTGGCAGGACGTGGACAGCTGTGTTCAAGGCTTGTGTGGGCCATTTGTCTGCCTTTCCATCTAACACTGTGTTCTGAGACCTCAGGTGATAACAACTGCCCTGAACTTTTTCTCTTCATACCTTTCACATCAGGTGCAGGTTCAAGAATTTGAAAAGAGAGTAGTTAATGCACCAATATAATAGTTTCAGGTTGCTGCTAATAGAACTGGTTTTTTTCTTCCACCTGTACTTTTCAGCAGCACTTTCTCCTGTTCCTTGAAAGGCTCTATTTCTCTGTTTTACTGTTCTAGAGTAATAGTTTTAAAACCCCTTGTCTCTGATTAAGAAAATACAATTCTTTCAATAGGTTATTTAAGTGGGTCATATACACAAGTTTGTGGTAGTGGGACAGAAATTTGTATCTCAGGAAACTGAGGAAAGCAAATTCTGGTCATGTGTTGTGTTTTCCTTCTGTTTTGTTTCAGCTGCTTTTGTTATGTCCTGTCTAGTTATTCCCATTGCAAATACTCCAGCTGGGGTAAAGAAACAATTTCAAAACAAACTTTCTTGCTGTTGTTGATGCATTAGAATCTCCCAGGTAATACCATGCAAACTCTAGCAGAGACCAAAACCTGCAGTGCTTCAGAATCAGAGGCAGAGCAGGGAAGGAGGATCCATATCCAGCCCTGCTGGGACTGGAGCACGAGTGGTCACGGTTCTGATGTGGGCACTCGTCTGTGGAGAGTTCAGGTGGTCAGAAAGTCCTGAGATCAACATTAAGGTTGAGAAGAAAAACAAAGATAAGGAAAATAAATGTCTTTTAAGCCACTAGAGGAAAGTTCAGAAAGTGATGCGTTTCTTTTAACAGTAGACAGATTTTAAATTGAACAACTGAGGGCTTCATATATGATATTTAACAATAAAAGCAACAATACACAAATACCACCTATAATTGCTGTCTTCTACCTGTGCTGAAAAACTTGGGCATCTTTCTGTGAGGCATCAGAAAAGTCCATGGGTTTGGGAGGAGGAAGAGTAGTGCACAGAGAAAGACAGTTCTATTTTTGCTTTTTTCTTTTTTTTTTTTTTTTTTTTTTTTTTTTTGGCATTCTTCTTCTTGGCTCTTCAGAGTTTTATAATTAATAAGTTAATATTTCCTCCTTCATTTGGCTGTCTTGCAAAGGATGCTGTAGAATGTCTTTCAGAATGGCTTTTCAAGCAGAATATAAACAGCTAAATCAGGGCTGTTTTGCTCGTTATTAAGGTTTGAGTGGTGGATGCCAAGTTATGCAGAGCAATTTAAGTTCCAGTACATCATTAATGAGATTGCCCTGATGCAGATCAGAGTATGCAGAATGCAGAGATACTTCTTTTTATCTTAGGAAAAAATGAGGAGCTGGAAATGCTTTCTCTACTGTATTATGTTTTATGTTGCTTAATCCAAATTCAATTTTAATTGCAAGTTTTGCTTGTTTGGGGTTTTTTTTCCAATTCGAAAAGCCAATGTGCTGTCTGAGGAGCTGGAGGATGGGAGACAGATTGAAAGCTGAACAATGGTCAGAATGTGTTTGTTGATAACTGGAATGATACTCTCTCCCATTGTGACCAAGTACATCACAAGGGGGAAACAGAGAATTCAAAGATCTCATTGCTGTATTCTGGCAAATTAAAAAAAAAAAACCACCAAACCCACCAACTGGTAGCAATCTCAGGAATTCCATGTCAGCTGATGGGATTGAGGGATGTTGGGAGTGAGCCATCTGATGGCAGTCTGTTTCCAGAGGGCACACAAGGCTTATTGATGACTTTATTTTCCTTATCAGTTGGTTTGCTGTTTGTGTTGTCAATATGAGTATGACTTGTTAAGTCCCTGCTGTTTGGATATGCTGATACCATCTCTGTCAAAGCAGAGTTATCTGCAGTGCTGGAACCTGCCTTTGAACACTGAGCACAAGAGAGAGCAGCAGCCAGGGCCTCCAATTAGAGAGAGCTTGCAAACAGGAACCAATTAGCTGCACATAGCCTGCAAGTGCACATCTGTCACTGGAAGGACCAGCTGTGCCCTCCAGCTTTGCTCTGAGCTGGCCCACAGCTGCTTGTGCCAGCTGAAATGGCCCAGGGAGTCAGTGCCTTGGAATGCAGGGGGCATTCAGAACAGGAGATGGGGGACAGGTTCCCTGCTGTGATGGGGCAGTTCCTTTGCTTTAATGTGTCCCCTTCTCCCAAGTAACTGAATCAGTTATCCAAAACCCCACTGATTTTTGTCATTATTCCTGGCTGCTTTCCATGCAGAAGTTCTGGGGTTTTACTGGATTCCACTGCAGTTATGTTTAAAAATGATGATGGTACTTTGTGATAGTGGTGAAGCTAATGCAGTGTTTTGAGAGGAGGAGAGTGCTAAAACTCATCAATTAATGCCTGGAACCATAGGAGTAACAGTGGGAGAAACCTCTTACTGTGTTTGAAGATTGTGTGAAATTGGAGCGTAATCAAATGCAGGAGCTGATGGCTTTTCAAGGAGAAATTCTTATTTATATTTTGCAGTACCACCAAAGGAGACGTAATTTGCTACTATGGAAACAAAGGAGAACCAGAACCCATTTTCCTAAATGCTGGTAGGTTTTCTTCAGAGAGGTCTGAATATTACCTGTTCTTCTGTAGCTCTGTGTTGTTCTGGGAGTTCAGCTATTTAAACATTGTCTTCACTGACTTTTTCTTCCCATTCTTTAAAAAAAATATTATTTAATGTCTTTGAATTCCTTTAAGTATTTACTAATAAATTTCTATACAGAATCAATAGTTCATTAAAGGTTCTGTCCATGGTAATGTACCCACCTGTACTGCAGTTAGTGGACTATGCCTGAAGGACAGAAGTCTGTCCTAAGGAATGGAATTTTCAAAGGATTTGACCCCAACTCCCTTACCCAGCGTGTGTGTTTATGGCACACCTGCAGGTAAAGGTTAGGGGAACCAGTTGTATTTTATTAAAATTCTGAAATCTGTAATGACAACTCAAATCACCAGAATACACTTTCCATTGCATTGTTTTTGTGTGTATGTAGGAATATATGGATTGAGTAATTCTTTGTTGGATACACCATGGAAGAAGCTCCAGTATGGGAAGCAGCTTTTCACAGAAGTGGTGAAGAGAAGTCAAGACCTCACCAAAGAAGACTTGGTGAAGGAGCTCCTTACAGTGATGAACAATCAAGAGCCGTAAGGACACGATAGCTGGAGTTCACTGAAAATACAACATGACCCCTTTAAAAATTGCATATAGAAACTGTTTGGACAGAGAAAAAGCTTTAGCCATGTATTAATTGACTAAAGCTGGGTAATGAAGGGCAAAAGTAGTGTTCTTTCTGTCCACAGGGACTGACTTTCAACAGTATTGATTTTTAAGCAGTAGACACAGTACTACTGCAGTCTTAGTACTCAACTGCACACTGGTTTTTCTGTGCCCTTTTAAAGCTTACATTTCCCTTAGTAAGGGCAGTGAGTGCAGGACTGAGTTGCTTGCTCTGAGCTTTTTGGAGGCTCGGGTAAGGTTCAGTTTGTTCCTGCACACAGAGAAAGCACGCACTTACATGGAATCATAGAACAGCTTGGGTTGGAAGGGACCTTCAGGATCATCTTATTCCAACCCCCTGCCATGGGCAGGGACACCTCCCACTAGCCCAGGTTGCTCCAATCCCTGTCCAGCCTGGTCTTGGATGCTCCCAGGGATGGGGCAGCCTCAGCTGGTTTTGTCCCTTACCCGCTCTCTTCTGCTCCAGCCCTGCCTCTGACTGTGATACCAGGGATGTCCTGCAACTCCTTCCAGTTTAAGAGGGATGAATGTGTTAACACTGGAGAATTTTTAAATTTTTTAACCACTTTGTTCCTTTTTCCCAGTCAGTTACCAGACCCTGCCATCGAAGACCAGGGGAAGGAGTACATCCGTCCCATACTGAACAAGTATGCAGCTGTGTGTGTTCGCTGCCCAGGTTATGGAACAAGGTAAACAATTCCTGGGGTAGTAGCAGATCTGAGCACTTTGATCTTATCAAAGATACTGCAGAACGTTTCTCCTCCACGAGCAGGAGTGGTGCCATCTGCAGAGCCAAATCAGGGGTTCTTTAGACATGGCACTGTCAAATGGATCTGCCACTTTCATGCATTAAAACCCTATGGCTCTTAACCTGATAAAGAAGCATCTTCATCCTCTTCCTTCACAGATTAGAGTCCAGCTATTTCAAAAGAAACAGGGATAACTTGGCAGACATACTGGCCTTTCACTGGTGAATTAGCTCTATATTTCAGGTCCTCCCTACTGCTGTAATTGTATTCTCACACTCATCTTTCCCTTAGCAACAGGGTTTAGTGAATACGGATTGTTATCTGGGCCTCACAATATTCTTCTGAGTGAAGAGCTGTGAAGTGACTGGGGGAAGCCACCACATCAGGATGGTGGAGGATTCCTGCTGTCAGTCATCCCTCTGTGACAGTGTCCATGGAGAAATGACAGCTTGCACAGGGCAAAGGGGCACTGATGCATGACCAGAATCTGCTGCTCATGAAAACAGATTTCCTCTTTGGAAGGTTCCTAGAGAGAGAAACCTTTTCTGTGTTCATATATCAGTGTCCTGTGATAATAATTAACTGTTTAAATCTCAGTGGACAATTGATTTGAAAGAGAGGAATGGAGAGAGTACTGTTGATAGGATAAATAACCCTTGTAGGCTGTGAAGAAAAACTTAGTTTTATGCTACTTCTTTCTGAGTGGAGCACTTTGCACTAAGTTTGACCTTTCATCCTACTCTTCAACGAGCATCTTTGTGTGTCAGCTGCTGCAAGTGCAGCAGGGAATCAGAGCAGTGGGGTGACAGAAGAACAGACTGAAAATGCCCATCTGAACTTGCCAGGGCGATTCCTGCCCTGCTAATGTGGTGATGATGTGGTCAGGGGAGATAAAAAAAAAAAGAGTTAAAACATTTGGGCGTGAGGGCTGCCAGCTGATGTGCTGGACAGCAGGCTAACCCCTCCCTGTGTGGTTGCAGGACGAACACGGTGGTGCTCATCGATTCCCAGGGCCAGGTGACGTTCACCGAGCGCAACATGATCAACGCCGATGTCAACCAGTGGGAAACAAGCACCTATGAGTTCAAACTGCACAGTTAACAGCTTTCCACATGGATGGTTTGTAATAACAGCTGGGAGAGAACAAGCCATTAAGCTCCAGTAAATGTTTTGTGCCAGCCTCCACAAGCTAAAAATAGCGAGGAAAGCAAAAGTTTAAATAAACTGGTGGCACGCCCAGATCAGGCTCACAGATTCTTTGGATAAAACCAGATGAAAAACCTGGCTTTATGTTAAGTAGCAACTTAACAGTCAGAAATATTTTTTTTAATGTCACCCTACCTTCAGGACAAAGTCAGTGCTTTTTTGAAGGTGTGGAGTATTTTAAAGATGCTTTAAACAGACTAAAACTTGTTTTCAGTTCTGATGGGGGGAAACATTTGCTGCTTTTATTGTTAATATGTGAAGGTTTTACCAAACTTTGCTTTTGTTTCAAGACGTGCTGTTAGGATGGCACAGCTGGTGCCAGTGTGCATTAAATGAATGTGTGTAATCCTGGTAGCACTGAGTGCTTCAGTCCCGTGCCAGCCTCTCAGCAGTGCCATGGGGCACCGTTCTGCCTGGGGAGGGGAGGGCAGAGCAGGGGGATTCTTTACATTTGTTTTCCTAGAGATAGTACAGCAATATATCCTTTTTCTAAACCTTGGTCTAAGAGTAGGTGGGAAATTCAGCTCAGTCTCTGTTCACTTTTTCTGAAAGAGTCATGGCAGCAGACTTGCCTACCTTTGACCAGAATAAAGTTATTTGTGTTGTGACATCTTGTTTCCTGACAGTCTAACCAGCAATACTGATTTTGATATTTTCTTGCCCAGCAGGCAGGTAAGGAATAGGTACCTGTTTGCAAACAGAAGCTGAATATAAGGTTTACATATATCGGCTGTTTTGTACATATGCAATTTTGGCTTCATTATTGGTATAATATGTTAAAGCCTGGAGTGACTGATCATAGATTTTTAGTAAAAATAGCTATTTGTTGTAAGGTGACATTATTGCACTCTTATATTGCTGAAAAAGTTGGGTATGAAGGTGTACTTCCTGTGTTCTAACACCTGTGAATTAAAAAGCTATTTAAATGCATGCTTTTTTCAATTATTCAGTGCCAGGGTAGGTAATAGAAGATTCTAACTAATATCAGGATATTTGAAAACTCCAAGTTATTTTGCTGCTATTGGTGTTCTGTTTTGACTTATTTTGAACACTGAATATTAAGCTCGTGGTGGATCACTCCTGTTTTTTTCCCTCTAGATATGCTGGCTGTGTTCTTTCCACAAGGCTCTGATTTTAACTAATTATTTCGAAGCAGCAGTATTGCTGATCCTCTTCCAGAGGTGTGCAGCTGTGCTGCTGTGCCCAGCCTCGTGTGTTCCATCCCCCCTGGGTGTGAGGAGCCAGCAGGAAACGGGACTTGGTGGTGAGGGGAAGTCCTGTGAATCCCAGCTTTTTAACTGCTGCTAAAGCAGCACTTGGTCAGCTCTTTCCTTTATACTGGCATGTTTAAGTTGTTCTAGGTACCAGGACTGCTTGTGGGACTGGGCCCAGGCTGCTGCTCACTCTGCAGCAGTGGCTTTTTGAGCACTGCAGGGATCAGTAGGCTGGGTTGGGTTGGGTTGTACCTGGTGTCCAGCTCGGAGCCTCCAGACCATCCCTCTGAGCTGCAGGGAAGGATTAGCCCTTTGTGAGTTTTGGTGACTGACTAAAGCACAGATTTGTGTGACTAAAATGCTATTTTTAGATGCAAAGAAGTAGCTATAGCTGTCTTAAATTTGAGTTTGACAAATGCACATTTTCAAACGAAGCTCTGCCTCAATGGCTTGCTCTTTCTGAGAGTTTCCGTAGCAAACTTTTTTATGTCTTAAGGAAAGAATCACCAGTGGATATTTGAACGAGAAACTCTCTTTGAAGACGTTATCTTCAAGGCAAGCAAAATGCTTGCATGTAATTTTCATGCTAAAAGCGTTTATAAACCTTGGGTTTTAGAGCAGTCCTGTAATAATGAAAATTTATTCCCACCTTTTACTTACAGGCAAAAAAAGACAAGTCAGAGCTTAGATGTAAAAGCAGATTATAATCACATATTTTGCTTTGCTTGAACCAAAATTCTAAATCTGGGATTTGCTTTTGCTGACAAACCATAAAGAGCACAAACCTCTGATGTTATTTTTTTATCAGGTCAGAATAGTTGATAAAGTGAGCATGGGAGAGTTTTGTTATTGGCTTCAGTGGGAACAGGATCAGGACTGCAGTGCAGGTATCAGCAAGCAATGCTTGTCCATAGAGGTGATCAGGTGTTTGTGAAGTGCATGATCTACTCTGTGCAAATTACAGTTGCAGTGCATCCACTAGAAAAACCAACTGTAGCTAAAGTTATCAAAGAAAGTGTTTTATTTTTGTAAAAGTATTTTTAATAATAAAAGGGAATTTTAAAAATCAGTTTTAAGGGTTATAAAGGAAAAAATGTATATAGGAAACATTTCATTGCATTGTAGTAAGTTTGGTTATGCATATCATCTCTCGAAAGTCATACATTTGCAAGAGATTTTCGTTTCTATTGGAATGGCAGTAGAAGACATTTTGAAATACCTGTAAAAAATTGTGGGTTTTTTGCTTCAAGTTGTGTCATAATTGTTGTTTATATGTATGTTCAAAACTAGAATCAGAATAAAGTCAATCTGGTGACCAGTCTTTGTTGACATCAGTAGACAATTTGCACATGTGTTTGTGTTCATTGGTCTGTAAGGTGTGGGAAGATGCAGTGAAATCTTTCACGAGGTGCTGGCAATGAAAGGGCTGTAAGTTTAGTGCATTTCTGGTGCTTAATTCCTTTTTAAGAGTGCTGTGTTTTTCTGGGGGTTCTATGTTGTGTTGTGTGTTGGTTTTTAGTTCTAAACTGTTTCGTGGTTGTCTTATCCAGGTAAGAAATTGGAAAATATTTGAAATGAAGGAAAGATCAAAAGTAATGAGTCCTTAGGGAAAAGAGGAGCCTCACAAAATGCTATGGAAGGACAGGAATCCAGGTGCACTGGGGGAAAAGTCTGGGTCCTGGGACTCTCTTGTTACACTGAGGTGACAGGACCTTAATGTTCTGCCACCCTGGACACTGCAGTGGAGGTGGAATTGTCTCATCTCCCTGGGAGCAGCTTGATAAAATACACCTGAACAAAAACAGAAATACAGATAGGACTTGCAACACTGCAACACATAGCATCATAAGGAAATAAGTAATTTCAAAATGAATTTATGGAATACCAAGCAGAAATAAGGCAATAATTAAAGCATCTTACATTTCAAATTTAGCCTGTAGAACTTAATGCACATTCATGGCTTAGCAAGCACCCCTACTTATATGGAATATTAGCTACTAGGAATTAGTTTTATATCATTCAGATTCATGTAATTGAGCATTGCTGATGTTCTTCATCTGATTCATTTTCTGCAGAGAAGTCTTGTTGATAACTTCTGAGGATCCAGGAAATAGTCTGGACTTGGTGAAAATAGAATCTGTACTGTAATCAGCTGGAAAGGCAGAAGCTGTGAGAATTACAAGATGCATGGGTGTGACTCACGCTGGGAAATGTGGGCTGAGGTGAACGGAGTGAGGAAATGTTAAATATGAAATATATAGAGAAATAATTGATCTGTAGCATCCTATGTCAAGAACTTAGAAACTGAATGAGTAAACCAGTATCATATTAACATGCTCAAATTTACCATATCTTCTCAAACACAAGACGTAAGGACTGAACTTACGATCACAGATGAGGGAGAGAGGTAATAATTGATGTTAACTTTTATACTAAATAGGGGAGCCCAAAATTACAATCCATTTAAGTGATACACAACGTGAATGGTAAAAAAGCAATTTCTCTGCTGATTCACATTAAATTTTTGTGTGTTTGTACTAGAAAGATAAATGGAGAAAGTTAAACCCAGATCAGAAGCTGGAGAAAGGAAGGGGAGGAGAAGCTGCTCTTAATTTAGCAGAGAACACACAGGATGTTCTGTTTATGAGCCTGTTCTTCTGGAGGCCTCCAGACCAGACAGAGCCAGCTGCTGCCCTCGGTGTGGTGATGGAGGAGGTGTTTGCCATGGATATGCAGTGCATGCAAATACCAGTTTGCCACTGCCAAAATCCCAGAAAAAGCTGCAGTGCAACTTATTTTACTGAAATGAAAGTAATGCAGGCTGAGCAAGACTTGTCTTTCACTGTTGGAATGGCACAGTATGTGCTGCAGTTACTGACATTGGAAGTAAGAATATGAAAAAGCCACTGGCTCCACCTAATTTTCATTCTGATGAATGCAGCCTGGGAACTTTATTGGGAAGCTCATAGTTTTTGCTTTATAGGCTTGATTTCTGTATTTTGTGTTGGCAGCAGTAGTTTCTGTCCAGCCTTTCGATATCTTGTGTGTGAAAATCTCTTTGCCATTAGGAACTTCTCTGTGCTGATGATAATTTTACTTCGTGACATTGTGGTAAATCCTGATCACACCGTGCAGGTGGACATGTGCACTTCTGGTTCAAAAGTGGAAGACACTTCTAATTCAAATGTGGAAGATTCATGTTCATGTTTGACAAGTCTTTCATCAGAAGTCCAGGTGATGCAAATTTTCAGGTGAATTTGCCCCTTGTTAGACACAGCATATCAGATTTAACTCTCCAGAGGTCACATAGGCCTTGTGGGTAAAAATTACCCATGATTTGAGCTTAGTTTGGATGAAAACATTGTTTTGCTAATGGATTGTTATTGTTTTGTTCATAGAAAGTGAGAAGTGTATTTCCCTGTAGTGTGTGTGTCTCAAAGAATCAGTTGTTGCTGATTAATGATGTTGCTTTAACTCATAATATTATGGTTCTCCGAGAACAGATGCACAGTGGAAAAACTCACTGGTTATATTTTCACTTTCAGAGCACTGCAGGCATTTTAATTCTCCCAGCCCTATGCAAAGATCTGTGTGTGTGCCCGTTCTGGTTCTAACTGAAACGTGGCTGTTTGTGTGCTACAAGAATTTCCCCTGTTTTCTGCAGAATGTGCTCTTAGTGCAGCCGTTCAGTTGTGCAGTCACACCACGGGGATGCCCACGAGTCACAGTGCTTGCATTTCCACAGACCCTGTGAGAGGGACAATCTTCTGTCACCTGTTGGTAATGGGAGGTGGCCTGACACAGCAAGTGCTAGTGTCGACTTAAACTCTGTACTTCGTCACGAGGGTTTCTCCCCAGCTTTGACAGCTGAAGCGTGATGTAAGTGGCTGTTTTGCAGACCGTGGGCGTTCATTACTGCCTGTTCTGAAGTGGTTTGTTTTAACGTTAATAAAAGCAGACGTAATTTAAAAATCACTAAAATGATGGTTTGAGTGCAGAAGCCTGTTATGAGGAATTAAAATTAGAAAATGCTTTTAGCTGAAACTGCTTTCAGGTTTTCAGGGCAGCAATTTCGGTAATTGTTCATTATGTGTTGATACAGTACCGTGACATTGCATCTGAATTATCACCCTCCCATTAGATGTGTTGGTACAGTCAGACAAAAAGATGAAAGGCCTAGTGGGGGTCTGCAAAGTACAATTTAACATTTTTATTAAAATATTACTGTTATCTTTCGTAGCGGGATTTGGGGACCTCAAAGACATGAGATGAGTGAAGTATTAGAAAAATATTCTCATGTCCTGAAATTACATATGGAAGCAAACAAAAGCATTTATCATAGTTAAATGCTATTATACTGTTGGTGATGAAACCAGTCTGTGTTATGGCAATGTTTGCTATCTCATGTTGATTTCAAATCAGTATTAACAGTGAAGATAAAAAGAGGCAACCCTCTAATTAGAATAAAAGCTCTCTATAGCTCTTCTAGGGGGGAAGCAAATTATAAAATAACAGAGCAAATTAGGACAGCAGCTGTTCATTAGCACTTTAGAAGTGATTTTACGTAAATTCTGTAAGATTTTCTGTAATCATTTAGGAGTTCTGTCGAAACCCTGCAAACAGATCGGGGGCTCGTTCTGAGAACTTGGTGCCCAGTGGAGAGGCAGACGGCCCTGCTTTGATCTAGCCGTTGTGGGTGATCCCTGCGTGCGGCAGTGCTGCAGCCGTGCTGCTCCCGGGCTCGGGAGCGATGCTGGGAGGGAAGGGCTCTCCTCTCTGAGGGGAACGAGCGGCCCCGGCACACACAAAGGGCCCGCCCGCCCCGCCACGGCCCGGCCTGGGGCGGCCGCCTCCCGCGCCCCCATTGGCGGAGCGCTTTGACGGGCATGTGGGCGGGCCAATGGCTGCCGGGGATTCACAGCGGGCCTCGCGGAGGCGGCGGCCGCCATTGGCTGGGCGCGCGCGGGGCCCCGCCCGCGGGGAGCGCAGGGGCCCGGAGCAGGCGTTTAAAGATGGCGGCGGCGCCGAGCGGGGCACGGCGGTGCTGAGGCGGCCGCGCTCGGCCTCGCTCGCGGCCCCGGCACAGGAGCGGCGGCACCGCAGGAGCGGGGATGGCTCAGGTGGGTGCGGGCCCCGCGGGGCGACGGGCGGGGCGAGCCCGCGCGGGCACCGGCCCCTCCGCTCCACAGGCCGCGGCGCCCGCGGGCCCGCCGCGCTCCCGCCGCCCGCCCGGCCCGCTCCGGGCGCGGAGCCCACGTGGGCCTCCCCCGAGCCCCCACCCATCCCCAGCGCTGCGGCAAGGCCCTACCCTACCCTACCCTACCCTACCCTGCTCTGCTCTGCCCTGCCCGGCGGGTGTTGCCGTGCCACGCTTCCCCCCCCGGCCGGGGTGTCGTGCCCTCGGAGCTGCGATGTGTTGGGGGTGTCTGGGGGTTTCCTTAGGGCGGGTGGTTTTGTTTGTTTGTGTGTGTGTGTTTGTTTCCCGCTGCCCGGCCGGGGGCTGCGCTGCGGATGGTGCAGAGGAGGGGAAGGAGGGGAGCGCCTGGTCCGTGCCGGCCTGCCCGGGGATGGGGCTGAGCGGAGGGACGGGCGGTGTCCCCGGGCACAGCCTCTGGACCGGCTGTGTCTGCTCGGGGGAAGCGGGGAAGAAAAGGCACGGCTCGTTAGTTGTGGTGCGCTGAAGAGAAGCTGTGTCTGTAACTCTCAGGATATTCGAGTGCTTCTCCTATTAACAGTGAATTATCTCATTCAGTCTATGGAAGGTTAATTCTCCCCATTTTCTTCCGCCCCCTTTTTTTTTTTTTTTTTTTTGGCTAGAAACTGTTCGTTCTTTTGTACTTCTTTTCCCTTCGGATTTGTCTGCCAAGTTTGTTTGCCCACCCAACATCCAGGCGTGAACCCATTCCATTTCTTGAGTCCTTTAGGCTCTGAGTTACAGGTCTTGGAATTAGATCTTTAATTTTTCTTTTACGAGTTGAGAAGTTGTCTCTTCTGTTTAAGTAATTAAACTTAAGGGTCCCTGTTTTTAATTCTGTTGGTTGCTAGTTCTTTTGGTTATCAGGGTTATTTTTGCATTTTTAGAGAAAGAGAAAGGAATTCAGTTCCTTGTGTCTGTTGCTTTTCTTTACAAGTAAGAAGCTTATGTGTGATGTGGAAGGAAGAATATTTTTCCTCCTTCCTAGACTCCGATATTCACCTTTTTTTTAAAATTAGTTTCCTGTTTTACACAATTAACAAAACTGTCTAAACCTTGCTAGAAAACCTGGTCAAGCTATAAAAGCAGCTGTTGTGTTCTCATTTCTGAGGGTGCCTCTCCGAAAATCATGTGTTCTTTTCGTTCTGAAATGGGATGAAGTGTTAGGAACTATAGAAGTTCTTGAGCCTTGTCTGTATTTGCCACTTATAATGCTACTGTTGGGCCCTGGCTGCATTTTCTTGAACTTCCTTGATGACTGACTTACACAAAGTGGTTGTTTCCTTCAGAATCTCTTTACTCTAAAGCTGATAATGGAGAGAAACAAGAGAACAAGTGTGTGGTAATTAACATACTGAGTATCTCTTCTTTTGGCATTTCCTGTTCTGCTTTAAAGAAGGTAAATTCAGTCTCTTTGGGTTTTTTAGTAGAGATGATAAATAGGATTAACTTACTTCTGGAACTGTATGTGTCAAGAAGATACAATAGGTATAATAAAAAGAAGGTGGGTGACTGTGAGCAAGAAATTACTTTGGCAGGGGTTAATCAGTGTGATCAGGGCCTTATAAACTCAGCTCCATTTGGAGCCAGAGGATGGCTTTGTATGTGGTTAGCAAATTAGAGTTTGCTCTGAGCCACTCTTCCTTTAGGGAAGGAGTGTGAAGGAAGCAGTTTCTGACACCAAATCCAGTTTCTTTTTAAAAAGTGGCTTTGAGGAGAGAATCTGTGGAATGCTATTCCTTATTGTGGCTACAGGTGTCTGTGACAAAAATGTTCTTTATGGAGCTCCCTTCTAGATGCTGACCTGCTGTCCAGGGAAGGGGCTCTTGGAGTTTGGATGGTGCTGGTTACAAATTTTAAGATCCTGGTTTTTTCCTGCCTTGAAAAAAGATACCCTTTTCTCTGTGTACTTCTCTCCCAGCCCTCTCCTGTCTGGTTGTGGAGCTTATTAAACAAAGAAGGAGTTTGTTTTCTTTCTTTTCTGCCTTCAGAGGACATCTGTAAGACGACCAGGCCAAGGCTTGCCTTTGCTGGGACCTGTGCAGTTCACTGTGTTACATTGAGGAGTCCCCATTATCTGTATTGCTGAATTTACTTTGTGACGTGAGGTGTTTTAAAATGATCTGCCAATATCAGTTAGAAGTGTGAGATTTGCACGTGTTGGGGATCTGCAGACCATGAGCTGTGCGTTCATTGTCCGCAGATCATCCAGAGGGCCTGCAGTGTTTTGGACTGTCTGGTGTGGTTCTCAGGGGTGTTCATATCTTTGGAAGGAGTCCTTATGGAAACTGGTGATGGAACTTGGTGGAGCCCTGGAGAATAAAATGTTAGTTGAGGACAAATAATGAAGGATGGCACTATGCAGACTGACTTAGGTTACAACCTGACTCGTTATACTCAGCCAGTTGTGTTCTTGTGATCTGAGGTCTGTTTGGCTGTTGGTAACCTACCAGCTTATCCAGCTCATCCTTTTAGGTTTCATCCCTTCTGCCTGTCTTTGAAACACCTGATAGCTCAGGGAAAATCCTTACTGGTTTTGTTGTGGGTTATTTTTCCCAGCCCCTGATATAAAGGGCATATTGTAGTGCCAGTTGGCAGGAAGGTCGGTGGGAATTGGACCTGTGTTACTCTGCTCCTCCCTGGCTTTTTGTAGCTTGTAGGAAGGTATTGTAGCCCACTGTAACTGTATAGCTACCAGGCTGTTATCTTATCCTGGGGATGTGGCAGGTTTATGGCTAGAAGTGGAAAAGCTCATTTAAACTCCCCTTGGTTTAGTGCTTTTCCTGGCCACAGTATCTGTACCAAGTAGTCGACAGTCCCTGGCAGTGATTTGGCATTCATCATTCAGCTGTTCATCATGTCCAGGCCAACAAGAAAGGGAAGAGAACAGCAATTTAATTGTTAACAGTGCTTGAAATAGAATAACAAGGCATCTTTCCTGCAAAAAGCAGAGTTGTTGTGTCAGTGAACTCCCAAATCTGGGCAGGTGAAGATGAACATCGGTGGTGTTAAAACACCCTTTGGTGCAGGAGCAGGACATGGATCAGGGTGTGGAAAGGGCATCCACCAGCAGGGCTCATGCCTTGTCAGCATTAGTGTCTCTGTTTGGACCAGGAGCTGTTGAACATGGGGGAAGGGATTACTCTTTCAAATTCTAGAATGCTGATTTCAGTCTTGCATTTCTGTGTGAATTACTTGTTTGTTCAGGAGTCTTTAGAAGACTCTTAGGGTGGAAAAATTAGATGACTTAGGCATTTAATTTCCAGGAGTTAGTGAACTCATGCTGTGACTTTTTTGATTCTTTTGTTCATAATTAACAATTAAGTCACTAATCATTTACTCTGAGGAACCTGAGTCATTTGTCATTCACTTTTTTTTCTTTTTTAGTCTGAAGATGAGGAAGGTTATTAGACAATTATATTTTTTGAGGTGTTCTGTATAATGGTGGATGTTTGAGAACTTGCTGAAATAAGAAGGGATTGTTTGCTGCTGGGGTCACTGTGTTTTCATGTTGTAGGATGAATGTATAGAACTGTTTGTCTCACTGGTGAATGAGCCATTTTTCAATCTGAAAAGCAACACATTTGTATCAGAGAAGATGGGATCCTTTAGAGCTCTTACCAAATTGGAACCTTTTCCCTTGGTGACTCTACAATGCTTGTCAAGCTCAGCATGTTGAATGTGTGATGATCTTGAGTATGTTTAAAAAACGAGCACAAAATATGAACTGCTCTGCTGCCCCAGCAGAACTTGCTTTATTGCCAGATCACTAATGTAAGAGTTTGCTCTGTTGGATATTTTGCTTTCTTCCTCTTTCCAGGTAGGTGGCTTGTGTATGTTGTTGAGTTTTAATTGATCCCATTATAACTTCTCATTCCCAGCTTCCTGCCTTGCCCCAGTTGGTGTTTGGATATTGCTGTTGGTTTGTTCCTCCTGGGCTGGCCTAGAGATGCCTGAGACAATGACATTTGGTTTCTGTGTCAGTCCCTCATGCCAGCCCAGACTCTGCCCTGTCCCACAGCAACACCAAGCACCTGGAGCTCATCCTGCCACAGTGCTTGGCTTGGCTTTCTCTGCTCCCTGGGGATGCTTTGGACAGGGCAGGCTGAGCCAGATGCCTTGGGCAGAGGCACTGCTTCATTTCTGGCTGGTTGGAAGATTTAAGCCTAGTTTGGGCTGGCATGGAGGGACTGGGAGAAACCAAAATAAGCAGGTAAGAAATTGTGCTTCCTTTCCCCAGGTGCTTGTGGTGCTGCACAGATGACAAAAGTATCATTGAAGAAGGCATCATAGACATGGTAGAAAGAACCCACTTAATGTAAAAAATAAACAAGCCCTAAACACACACTCCCCATCCCCTGTAAATTTTTTCTAGAGCAGTTGAATATTTTTTCCAGTTTAAATTACCTAAAACACTGACTTCTAAATACCTTCCAAAATTATTTTGAGCTTCAGCGGTATGTATCTGGACCTGAATTCCTTGGACATAGCAAATAAATAGGTCCCTAATAGTACAAAATACAAGATCAAATGTGTAATATCTGACTATCCAGAGAGTAATTTTCTGTGAGATTTTAGTAAAGTATGAGACTTCCTGTTAAAACTTCCTGTGAGGTTTCAAAAATACCTAATAACTTAAACTTTGAAAAGCCACATGTCTTACAGACCAGAGTTGTTAAAATCCTCTTGGTTTTGCAGACTGTCTTAAACTGTGAGCTAATTATCCTTTCTGCTGTGTGGGTAAGTATGGCTTGAGTGCCAGGTTGTTTTAAATTAGGGGAGAACCTCCCCAAAATGCACAGGTTTTAGTCTGTCATGCTTAATGCCCTGCCTGCTAATCAAGCAGAAATAGTCACCTAATCGTAATACAGGGCAGCTGTGTTAGCAAATTCCTGTGCTGGTGAACAGCTCAAGCAGCAAACCCAACGGAATTCCAGCCTCATTCAAAGTGGGCTCTGGGTACCCTGCGTTTTCCACTGGAAAAATGTCGCTCTTCTGCTTGAAATTGTAGCAGGAGTGAGGTGCTTTCTTTCTGCCTGGGATGCTTTTGCCATTTTTCCCAGTGACAATTTTTTTTTTTCTTCTTCTTCTTGTAGGTTGAAAGAAGAAAAGGAGACCTGCTTGTCCAATGAAGATGCAGTCTTAGTCTTCAGCTATTTAAGCTGAATGCATTGTGATTTCCAATAATTGAGACAGTGATTCTGAAAGCTGTCTACATTAATGAAAAGAACAATGTAGTCAGCTTAACTGAATCATCAGTGTTGCATATTGACTAGAACACGATAACCCCATCCTGATGGACTCGTGCATGTTAGGAGGATAGACATAAACATTTACTAAAGCGTTGGTTTGTTCTTTTTAAAAGCCAGTAGTTTTAAAAATGGAGACCTGTGAAAGTGTGCCACCCCTCCCCAAAGAACCTGCGAGAGAGATGAATGCGGAGAACCCCAGTTGTCCCCCACCTCTGCCGCCCAGCGAACAGCCTCCACCACCTCCCCTGCAAACGTCCAGTGACGCAGAGGTAATGGACGTTGGCTCTGGTGGTGATGGACAGTCAGATAGCCCCGCTGGGGACACGCACAGTCTCTGCAGAACTCAGCTGCTCACTAAGGGATCCGCCTGCTACAAAAGCCGTCTCATCGTAGACCCCGCCAGCGGGGAGCAGAGCCCGAGGACGGCCCGCCACGCACCCGCAGTCCGCAAGTTCACCCCGGATCTGAAGCTGCTGAAGGACGTGAAGATTAGTGTTAGCTTTACTGAGAGCTGCAAGAGCAAGGACAGGAAAGTTCTGTACACTGGAGTTGAGCAGGATTATAAGGCAGATGCAGAGTTTGGTGTTAATAATGTCAATGGGGATTTGCATGTTTGTCCTTTCGGTGGTAGCAATGGTAAAGCTGTAGGAATAGGGGGTGACAGTGATGACAAGAAGGATGATGAAAATGATATTGATCAGGAAAAGAGAGTGGAATATGCAGTTCTGGATGAGCTAGAAGACTTTACCGACAATTTGATGGAAATAGATGAAGAAGGAGGAGGGTTCACATCTAAAGCAATCGTTCAAAGAGATAAAGTGGATGAAGAAACCTTGAATTTCTCATATGAGGTAAGCAAATCCACAGGTTTTTGGTGGGTAAGAGGTTTCCAAGTGACTAGAAAGAAATACACAAAGAAACAATCTCTTCTAGAAGTGTGCAGTATGGGAGTCAAAAAGGCACAATTTTCAGAGTCAGAGCTTCAGCTGAAAGCTTCTTTAAACTACTGAGTTGTGTGGCAGCTTCTGTACTTCGTTTAAAAATAGCATTTAAAAGTCTTTTCACACAATTGCAGTTCATTTTGTCATGAAAAATACAGTTCTCACAAAACTTGTTTTCTTATTTTTCAGTCTTTTTACTGGAATCATTGGAAGTGTCTAGTTTCTCTGTGGAAGTGTATATCACAAATGTGTGCTTTCTCTTTGCAAGGGAGAAGGGAGGTTGGTAGACCCAGAAGGATATAGTGTCTGATGAAGTCTCTTTCAGGATGACTTTGATAATGATGTGGATGCTCTGCTGGAAGAGGGTCTTCGAGCACCCAAAACAAGGAGACTAGATAATGAGAAATACGGTGGGGAAAGTGATCACCAGTCTGATGGAGAAACAAGTGTGCAGCCAATGATGACCAAAATTAAAACTGTCCTGAAGAGTAAGTTCATGTTCATTAAATAACTGCGGTTCTTGTATATGGCTTGTGTCTGTGGAACAAAAGTGTATCAGCGTGTGGGATAGCGGTTCTTATGGAATTGTTCATATGTTGGAGAATTTCATTGTTTGGAGGCCTCTTACTGTGGGATTTCTCATGTCTCTAAACAATGAAGTTGATTTTTGCTTTTGATCTGTTTTATGTAGTAAGAACCCATTTTAGTGTGTGGATTTGTGAAAAATAATGAAGAATGTTACCTCAGTGGCAGGGAGGTGAACAAGGATGATCTGGAGCTCTTGTCTCCAATACCGTGAATCAGCTGAAGACTCTGTGGTCATTGTGGACCTTTTCCTGCTTCAGTTATACAACTCCTGCTGTTGAAGTTGCTCCATGTGAAGTCTCTATGCATGCAATCCTAGGTTACAAGGAATGACTGGAAAAGGCAGTGGACATTCATCTGATTTCATTGTGTAAATGTTAGAAACTACTGATAAAGAAGAGCTGAGAATATGAACCAATCCAGGAGAATTTACCTCAAAATATTCTGAATTAGCATTAGAATTTGAACACACTCTAGAAGAATACTTTGCAGCTTCAGTATGTTTTGAAGTAGGAAACCAAACAGTGTTTCCCTCCAAAATTGTGTACTAACCCAAGATTGCCAGGAGGCTTCCAGCAAAGGTGAATGGTCTCTGATTTCTGGTGTACAGAGGACTGAGACCTTGGCTTGCAAAGGAACTCTTTGCTGGCTGTTTGGATCTGTAGGTCTGGTGGTGTCTCAAAGCAAATTTATTCCCAAATGTCAAGTGAAAAAATTTTTAATGGAAAGTTCAGTTGTTTCTAAAGCAAGTGTGACTTTTTCCAGTAAATATAGTGGTGCTTAAATACATAAAAAAGACTAAAGAGAAAGTCCACTGAAGAAATGAGCAAAGCAGTCTGTATAAAAATTAGTGCTTCTGTTGCCTTTCAGCTGAGAACATAATGGAATCTGTAATTTTTCAGGATTTAGTGTGGGTTAGAAGCGTATACCTTGTTAATAAAACAACTTCTCTCTACAAAACATCTTTAATCTTGTTGCAGTGCAGTTTTATTCTTTGAGGCAGAAAAGGCAGTAAATAAAAACCTGGATTCTTCTTTTAAGCAGCCTGTGCAAGTTTAAAGCCATTCTTTGCTTTCAAGGTCGTGGCCGCCCTCCTACAGAGCCTTTGCCGGATGGATGGATCATGACATTCCATAACTCGGGCATTCCTGTATATCTGCACAGAGAATCCAGAGTTGTTACCTGGTCTAGACCTTATTTCTTGGGAACAGGAAGCATAAGGGTGAGAGCTGTCAATTCCTCACATACTTACTGAGACTGAAAAATGAGATGTGTTCCTGCAAGCACTTGAATGTTTTTCTCCTTCAGTGGGCTTTTTTTGCAGTGTTAAAACAAGGTCCCCGAAAAGTAAACGCTTCTATTTCTGAAAATTTGATGGGATTTTTCTTAGGTGCTTAGTTTTTCTGTTTGGGCAGTTGAAGAGAATGACGTGATCTTGTTTGGTGCCTTTGTTTTTCCAGCATGTGGCTGAAAAATCGTGGGTTTTATTCCACCATGCAATATATATGGATCATTTATTTGTAGCTATAAACTAGTCTGAGCTGTGGCTCATGGTCCACATTTACAGAAGTAAGGATGTGACAGTCATGAACCCAAGGAATCTGCAGGAGCTGCATTTAATGCCCTGGGCTTCTGCCCCAGGAAGGCTAAGTGGCTTTTTTGAGAGCAGGTAGTGTTTGCATGTAAGTGAGCAGAAAGTCTGGCTCTGAACCAGCCAACACTCTGGGAAGGTTTGGATCAGGGTTGCACTGTCAGGATACAGGACTGGCCCTGTTCAGCTCCTGAGCAGAATGGGATGGCTGATCAAAGAGAAGCCAGAGCCTGGACTGAGCAAAAGTAACTTCTATCTTGATTGCATCTCTTGGGTTTGAGTTTTGCTTTTGGTGACCTTGAGATACTGATACCTTCTGTGTTATTTTATATTTGCAGAAACATGATCCTCCCCTTAGTAGCATTCCTTGCTTTCATTACAAAAAAATGAAGGAAAATGAGGAGAGGGAACAAAACAATGACATAACCCCAAATGGGGAGGTATCACCTGTAAAGCACCTCGATAAATCCTCAGAACTGGACTGCCAGACAGAAGAGCCAGATTCCACTGCTGCTGACTCTGGGCCTTTAGATGACAAAGACCCCTCGGGGGGAGATGCAGCACAAGGAGCCTTGGGACAAGTTAAGGCCAAAGTTGAAGTGTGTAAAGATGAATCTGTAGGTATGTATGGCAAGTGGGGTCTTTCCTTGCCTGGAGTTGGGGTAATGACATTTGGGAGTCTTGATTCCAGACTTGGCAACTGAGTGGTATCTTATCTGAGATCAGGTGGTGGGTTATCTGCATGATCTGAGATCTGGAGAAACAGATCCAGTACCAGAAATCAATGTTGATTTTAACAGAAGAGAAATACAGTGAAGAATTTGGCTGAAACCTTGAGAGTCCATGTGGAAGGGTTTTACCCCAAAAATGTGAAGGTTTGGGAAGTTTAGTCCTGTAGGCTTTAAGTCAATGTGTGCATTTGAATGGCTGTTGTCAGGTGTGTTTCTGTGACTTGTTTAATTGGGCTTTTCTTTGCAGCCTCTGTGTTGGCTGAATTGTATCTGTTTTCAGCTCTTTAAGACCAGTGGTGCAGTTAAACTGTATTTCCTTATTTTCACAACTCTAGCAGAATAAGTCATGCAATATAATTGGACTCATATGAAGGGGGGTAATGCTTCATCATTTTATTTATACAATTCTAATAGCCTTTTCACAAAAAGTTGTCTGAAGAAGTCATGCCAAAATCACTGCCTAACTTAGAGGAACTTGGAGAGGAAGCTCTTGTGTCACTCCCCACATCTGCATACCTGAGAGTCCCATCCATGTAAATTAATGTTCCTCAGAATATTGATATGGATCATAGGCTGCTGTTTGCCTTTGATGTTCAAACATGAAGCTTGTCCTTGACACTACATGTGTCCTGTTCACTCAGAAAAACATGCCAAAAGATTTAAAAAAAAAACACCCAAAACACCAGTATTTAGCAGCAAAACTAAAACCAGTGAGCACTTTTCTATGTGAAGTTCATCTCTCTCTCTTCAAATAGGATCTCTTCTGTATTACTGAAAAAATACTGACTGATGAAGTACAAGCATGACTTGCATATGGAGTTCCTTGTGGAAGGAAACAATGCCAGCAGCTTGCTTTTGTTTGTTTACAGCTGTGGATGCTGCTCTTTATTTTTGCTGACTGTATCTGCAGGAGTATCCTAGAAAGGAGAAGCAGGGGGCAGTCCTTGGTTCTCTGTGTGTGAAATTCATGTTTCAAATTTTGCTCAGAGGCTGCAGACACTCCTGGAGTTCAGGCAGCATCATTACACAGGGTTTGATGAACAGGCAGCAATAGTTGGGCTCAGGCAGCTGAGGCTGAAAGCAGAACTGCTGTACTCACTGTGTGCCTTGTTTCAGGTACAGGGAAATATTGAAGTAGAACAATTGCCAGTGTTTGTTACAGACTGTGGTGGCTATTGTGCTAGTTAGGGCTCAGTAGAATCTTCAGGTGACAGAACATGGTCTTTTATGTTGTTTTCCAGTTTGCACAAACGTTTTGCATTTGACCCAGTAAGAGGAAAACGTGTAATTAGTTCTGTTACTGTAAAATGGCATCGTAACCTTTGGCCCCTGCTGTAGGAGTGTAATTATAGCATGTTCAGACAGTGGAAATAGAGAGCTGCCTGCCTGCCCAGTAAAGCAGAGAGAGTAACCTGTGTGTGTCCCTCAGACCTGGAGGATTTCCGGCGCTACCTGGAGAAGCGCTTTGACTTCGAGCAGGTGACGGTGAAGAAGTTCCGCACGTGGGCCGAGCGGCGCCAGTTCAACCGCGAGATGAAGCGCAAGCAGGCCGAGTCCGAGCGGCCCATCCTGCCTGCCAACCAGAAACTCATCACCCTGTCTGTGCAGGATGCACCCATCAAGAAAGGTTGGCTTCTCTGCCTGCAGTTCCGGACTAACAGCAGTTCTGAGTTTGGCTGAAAATAAAAAAATCCTCTAAGAAGTCTATTTTTCCTTCATCTGGAATTCTGTGTTCTTTGATCCATCATATTACATAGTAAAGGGAATATATTGTCAAAATAGGCTTCCTGTTTAAAAGAATAACTTCTGAACAAACAGATTTTTATTGAAGGTTACAGTCCTGGTAACTGGTGACTGCCCTCAGCTCTAGGTACTGTTGGCTGTGGCTAAAAACCCTCCTGCCTTGTCACTCAGTGCTACTGCCTTCTCAGTTCTGTACCAGTTTTAGTTGGTCCCAAATTAGGGACTGGTTACAAATGCCATATTGATCCAGATTAAAACCTCCTATTAAAAATGCAAATATGTGTGCAGTTGTCCTGTGGTGTGAGGAGTGGATATCGTGTCTGATAACAAGCTGGAGTATTCCCTTGTGTATCCATAATAGCACATCTGACTGCAGTCTGATGTTTAAAATGTCCATTAGACCTGTGACTTGGATCCTGGTTTTATTTTGTGCATTGTCATGTTTCTGAGTTTCTTCTCTTGAGCAGAATTAAAGCTCATGAGTTCATATTGACCATTCCCTGTTACAGGGAGGTGCAGCTGAATTTTCACTTAATATTTTTATCTTCAGGTGTAGGTTTAGAGCCCCAATGAAACTCTAATTAAAACTTACTTGCACTTTATCTGTGTAATCAACTTTCTCCCCCCTGTTGCCTGCTGAGCCAGGGTTTGTGCTCTGGGTAATGATACTGTTGCAGGGAAAAAATCCCATCCAACCAAAAAGTAATCTTTCAAATAAAAAGAGCACAGTCATGGCAAGGGAGCAGTGCCCTGATCTGTGGCTGCTGAACAGGATTTTTGTGGGGGAGGGCTGGGAGTGGGGTTATGATTCTGGTTTGGGAATTTGAAGTCTGTGCCCATTGTTGTGCCTCCCTTCTGATGTGTTTAGGAGCAAATTAGAGGGTCTTTAATTGCTGTTTGCTGCCAAAAATGCTGGATGTAGAGGTCCAGAGGCCATGGGGCTGCAAACACTGAGCACAGAATGTTTGACTTAGCTCATAATTAGTGCATTTCTAGATGTTGATAGAAACTTCTCACTTGCACCTCAACACTTCTTCAATGCAAATGGTCTGGGAGGTCTTAATTACCTGTACCAGATTCAACAACAGTGCATTTCATTTGAGCAAGCACTTACCCCTTGGAACTTGTGATTTATTTACTGATTTATTTGGAGTAGGAATTATCCCTTAAAGACTGGAAGTACTTAGCTTCTCCCCCTGTCCTTGTCTCTTCTGCAGAGTTTGTCATTAATCCCAACGGGAAGTCTGAAGTTTGCATCCTGCATGAGTATATGCAACGAGTCCTGAAGGTTCGCCCTGTTTACAATTTCTTTGAATGTGGTAAGTCTGTTAAGTGTTCTTAAAATAGAACTGGAATCAAATTAATGTTGGGGTTTGCTTCCTGAAGTGGTACAATATATGTTCCCTTAATTCTTACTTTTGCTGGTTTGGTTTTTTTTTGGAGGACATGTTGTAATCCCTCAGAATTATGTTATTCCTCTGTATGTATTACATAATTTACCTGACTTTTCAATATCAGAATGTAGCTCTGGTGTTCAATTTGGTTTACAAAACTTTGCTGTTAATACTTGAATTCTGGCAGATTACCAGCGAGCTCTTAAAATGTTCTTTATTTGGAAGAATTGAGTATATGGTGGTAAGTTTCTGTTAATGGAAAACTCTTGTTAGTCTTTCTTATACTTAAGTAAGCAATTTTTCAGTCTTCATGAAGAATAAACCATTTCTATCCCTCTTGAAGCTGAAATGAAGAAAAAAAGCCTTGATAGTGGTGGTATTTCATGTTCATGGTGAGTGTATTTTACACTGAGAGTTCTGAAAAGCTTTCTTTTACTTTCCTCCTCCATTTCCAGAGAACCCAAGTGAACCTTTTGGAGCCTCAGTTATTATTGATGGAGTCACTTATGGGGCAGGAACTGCCAGCAGCAAAAAACTTGCCAAGAATAAAGCTGGTAACGTTTTTTCTTTCTTAATACCAACTCCTGATTTGTTTTATCTGTTTTTATTTCTGCTTTGGAAATGACATACTTGTTGTAGTAGGTAGGAATAATTTTGTTAACAGTCATTAAGATGTGTACGTGGCCTTTTGGCAGAATTGATAAATAGCTGGAGCAGAGCCTTTGCCAGGCCCAGGGTCAGCGATGGGCTGGGGCAGAAAGCCAGGGAGGGACTGGCTCTGTTCACCTGCCTGCAGACTCCTGGGGTACACAGTGTCAGAGTCTGTCTCTAGTGATCAATCGTGGAGGAACTTGGAGGTTTTATGTCTCTGCTCCTCTTAATCAAGGTGTTTAATCCCTTCCTGCAGCTCGAGCTACACTGGAAATCCTTATTCCCGACTTTGTTAAACAGACCTCTGAGGAGAAGCCCAAAGACAGTCAAGAACTTGAGGTACTGAGCTGTTGCTTCCTGGCTGTCACTGTTGCAGTCTGTTTTTAGAAACGTTGCACCTTCAGTTCAAAAATACAGTGGAAAATTCATAAGGTTGTTTTCTCAGTCAAAGGGAAACGTGAAATTCTTGTTTTAGAACAAGACCTGTGGCAATGAAAATACCATTTTTAATTGGAATTGATCAGAAAATTTATTGTGATGCAGAGAACTAGTTCCTTATTGATTATATCAGGTCATTTACTGAAGACCTGTAATGTTCCCAGATACCAGACTGCCTGTACTGTCCTTGTTTCCAGAATCCTCTGGCTGATGCTCTAAAGGTGCAGAGCTAAGTGCTGTCTGCTTTTGTGGGATCATCTTAGGACACCAACGAAGAACTGGAAGTGCTCAGGCTACTGAGACATTTTTACTTACCTGTAAATCTCAGGCTTCAGGCAGTGACACTTGAGAAAATCAAAGGGAAAGCTTCTTTAAGAGGAGAATATGTGCCATATTTTCAGGTACTGGAAGTATGAAATAGTTCATTGATCAGTGGTACTTCTGACAGAGCATCAGTAAGGAGTGAAGGACAAATCCGTGATCAGCCTGAAAGGAATGTTTTAATTTTAAAAAGTGCAATATCCAAAATGAGCTGTTTGTGCCTTTAATTTAAAACTGTGGTGTATCCCCTACACTACTGAAATGGTCATGAGGAAAATGCAAACTATTTTTTCCATTGTTTTAAGATACAAGCTATGCCAGTAGCTGTGTGATTAGGTGTGGCACTTTTAATGATGTTGATAAATACCTCCCATTACGGATTTAAAAGCCCTTTTTAAAGTATTAAGCAGAGGGCAACAGATCTTGCTGAATGTTGCAAAAGAGACATGAGGGTTAAAGACAGTTTTAGGGTGGTATTTGCACAAAGCACAATGACCCTTCTCGCTTCCTTTGTAGTATTTTAACCATATCAGTATTGAGGACTCACGGGTATATGAACTCACCAGTAAAGCTGGACTCCTGTCTCCATATCAGATTCTCCATGAGTGCCTTAAAAGGTAAGGCTGCAGCACGGGGAGGTTTGGGGGGAGGTTTGGGGGGCACAGCTGCTGTTCCTGCAGTGTTGGTGGGTGCCTGGCATTGCTGGGCTGGCTGAGCTCACTCTGCTCCCCCTGGCTCTGCAGGCTTGGTGGGGACTGAGCTGGGCAGTGCTGAGTCATTTTTAACTCATGTTTGCTGGTAATGCCTCTTCTGAGATCAGAATTTAGTTGTGGGACGTGTATTTGGTTTTTCTTTATCCAGGCTTGCCTTTTCAAAGTTACTGACCTAAAAAAACCCTTTTCATTAATGAATGTTTTGGAATTTATTACTGACTGATTTCATTGCAATGACTCTGGCAGATAACTGCAACCACTGGAGTTGTTTGTAGTTTTACTTAGTGTGTGATCTTGACTTTGTGCTTAAAGAAACCACGGAATGGGTGACACATCCATCAAGTTTGAAGTGATTCCTGGGAAAAATCAGAAGAGTGAATATGTGATGACGTGCGGGAAGCACACGGTGCGAGGCTGGTGTAAGTACAGCGGGGAGGGACCCCTGGGGGCTGCTCCTCCTGCTGACTGACACAGGGCAAGGTTTGTGTTCATTACACAGGGCTGACACACTCCTGTGGCTGTTTTTACAGGCAAAAATAAGAGAGTGGGGAAGCAATTGGCTTCCCAGAAAATCCTGCAGCTCCTGCACCCACATGTGAAGAACTGGGGCTCTCTCCTGCGGATGTACGGGAGGGAGAACAGCAAGCTGGTTAAACAGGTGACTGCTCTTGTGGGCATAACCTGCCCTGGGACTGGAGTTTTGGATCTCCCTGGGGGGTTGATTTAGCCCCAGCAAAGCTTTAGGGGGTGTGTTTGGGCGTGCTGGTCCTTCCTGTGAAGGCAGTTCTCAGTTCTGAAGGGAACCTGTACCTTGCTATTGCCAGAACACAAGAGCAGTGATTTCACTGACAGGAATCGCTGTGTTAACCTGGCATCTTCCAGATCAAAATTATATAACCTATTACATCTTTAACATTAAAGCAACTTGTGGAAATGGATGTTATTACTTAAGGAAGTACAGCTGTTGCTTCATGTACGTCATTTTGATCAGTTGTTGCTTGTGGTTCTGTCGAATAGGAAACCTCTGATAGAAGTGTGATAGAACTTCAGCAGTATGCCAAAAAGAACAAGCCAAATCTGCACATCCTGAACAAGTTACAGGAAGAAATGAAAAAACTGGCACAGGAAAGAGTGAGTAAATGTTCTTGTGGATTCACAAACAGCACAAGTGCCACAGTTCACCTGTACCAGTGGTCAGGTGAAGAGTGCTCCTCAAAACCTGACTGGGGTGCTACTTCTAGAGAGATTTTCCTCTTCTTTTAAACTGTCTTATAACCTAATTGTACCTACTTCAGAAAGTTTATTTTTAACATCAGCCCAAGTTAGCCTTTCACAACCATTGACAGTTTGGCTAAAATTGTTCAAAATTTGCCTGGTGTTTTATGATTCTCTTCTCTTTATGACTCTGGGGGGGTGTTTGATGTCTTTGCAGGAGGAAACACGGAAGAAACCCAAGATGACAATAGTGGAATCTGCTCAGCCTGGGAGTGAACCTCTCTGCACTGTTGATGTGTGAGGAGAAAATGCAAGTGGGGAGCAATAACACAAATGGAGGAACTAGATTTTCAACAATTATTTCAAAATTGTTTGCTGCAGAATGCAAGATAACTTTTAAAATCCAAGCTGCTTCAGTTATGCATTGTTCTTTTTGCATCATCAGGGCAATATTACTTTTTCCTAGTTTCTTTTTCTTTGGTTAGTTTTTTTTCCTTTTTTAATACCTCTGAGATATGTACCTTTAAAGGATTGATCATAAAGGTCTCTTACTTGGCAGATGCACAGAGGAGACAGGCATGTTCACACAGGAGAAAATCAATCAAGCACTTTTTCCTGGGAAGCCATCCATGTTGTTGGAATGGATGTATTTTAAGTATGAAATTCAGAATATCTATGTACAGGTTGAAGCTGATATTATATATATACACATTCATATATATGTATATATAAAAGAAATATATGTACATCTTCTTGTATGAACATGCCTAAAACTATTTTTGTGAAAAGTTTTGTTGCATTTCAGCACATAATAATATGCACTGATAAGACACTTTGGTGACAAATACAGGAAAGTGATGAGCAATGTTCCTAATGCCATAGGATTAGGCCAGTAATGCTGTTTTTGTTTTGCTTCTTGTCTCCTGCCAGGCTTAGTTATTTGAGATCACAGGGCGCAGACTTTTTTACTACTTGAACAAGTACACCTGGTAGTGTTTAGAGTAACAGGTTGGATATTCAAAATGACTGGGGTTTGTTTTAAATGAGAAGAGCCTGTGTTAGTTTACAGATCACTTGAACAGGGAAAGAATGGCCCTGGTTACACGATTAAAACAAAAACTGTAATTTGGAAGGCTGTTTTCAAAGCTTGGAGCCAAAACGCAGCTGATGATGGTTGATAGTCTGAACATACTTTGCCAATGATGTGTTTAAAGACTTTCCACTCCCTTCTCCCAGCAATAAAACAATTTCTCATTTGTTTGGTGTCAGATTACATCTGACTCGATCAATTAAGTCTTAATTAATTTGCACCATAAAAGCAATGAATTTCGAAAAGAATCAACACAACCCTAAAATCTGAAATAACTGCAGCAATTTAGGGTTTTTTAAGAAGCTTTTTGTTCTTACTTTTTTTTTTAATTGCATTTTTAGTTTTTAAAGAAAATGTGTAACTTCTGCGAATTAGAATGTAGAGTTGGGTTATGCCATAGAGTAATGAGTAGAATGAGACCATGAGGGGCTGTGCTCACCAGTGAGGAAGTCACAGATGTGCAGGTGGCGTTGTCAGCTGCAGTGCTGGCAGGGGCAGCCCAGGAGGAGCTGTGGCTGCAGTGGCAGTGACAGCACCACTGGCAGGGGTTGTTCTGCAGGGGGTTTCTGTGGCCCTGCTCTGGGTCTGCTCTGGAACTGGTGTGTGTTGGCTCTTCTCAGTGACTGCAGGGGCTGCTCTGCTCTGTCCTCGCTCCCCTGCTCCTGGCAGTGAACGAGCACCTGCTGCAGCTCCTGCTGCTTCCCTGGACAGGGCCCTGGGGCTTGAGGGCTTCTTTGGTTTGGTTTTTCTTTTGGTTTTTGGTGTGGGGTTTTTGATTTCCCGTGTTCCGTAGAGAGCGCTGCAGTATATTGAATTTAGTGCCTACTGGATTTGAGCAATGTTGGCATCAGTATTGTAAGACCTCCTTTTACATCCTGCATTCCTTTGGATTTTAATTTATATTTCAAGCTGATGTTCTCTAACGTGTTGCTTATGATGTTTGAGGTTAAACAGGAGGAGCCTTGGAGTCCCACCTGTTTCTGTGTTTGAGTGATACCCTCGGAGGTCTCTGCAAATACAAATCCACCCATTTTTTATTATTGTATTTAGCTTTTTAGTTCCACGAGTTGTAATCCTGGTACAACAGGATACGGGTAGTTGAAGACTATACATAAACTTATTATTTAAAGAAGTGGCCTGTCTTAAAAAAAAGAAACAAAAAAACACTGCCTCTGCTTTTTTTTGTATAGCTTTAATAAATCTCCATCTTTTGAAGGGTATATAATATTGGTGCAGTAGTGACAAGCAGTGAGTGCTGTTTGTCTCTTTGTTTTTATTGGATTTTTTTTTTTGTTTATTTTCCTAAAGACAGGGCTTATATCTTCTATGCCTAAATGTATTACTCTTCTAGATAGGTTTTATTTCAGCTTCTATGTTTTCAGCAGAAAAATCTGTACTTGGATGGCACTGTAAAAGACAAATCACCCGTGTAGATCTTTTTATTTTTCTGAAACCAGAATGTCAATGCATTTGCAGGTCACCTGCAGAATATCCACAGATGCCTCGCTTACCAATTTGTTTTCATTAATTTTGAGAGGATTGCTGTATTACCTCACTCTGCCACTATCAGATTCCCAAGGTGACCATTGCCCTTAATAAACACCCAGAGATTTCATTGTGAACCAAAGCCTAGAACGAATATTATGCATTCTAAACAAAAACAAAGCAACGCGATGGTATCAGACCTTGCTGCAGCCTTTAACTGGAGAGATGTCCAGGAACCCGCAATAACTGCTGGAACAAACAACGGAACTGCTGTGTGTGTCAGTGTGGGTGTTCTTGTGTTTAATGTTTACTATTGTTTGGAGTGTAACAGTCTTGCATTTGCACATAAGCACGAGCTGCTGTGATAGAGGATAGATCATTGCATTAACTTCAGCTTCTGCATGAACACTTACAGTGTGATTCCAGATGTATCCTAAACTTGTCTTGTAACTCTTGTGTGTTTTCTAGGTAATCGGCTGTAAAGGTTTAGATCTGATTGTATGAATGCATAAACAACTGCTGCTTTTGTCACTGATACTCGTTATTTATCCCTTCTATATCCAGAGGAAGATGGGTATTTTTATAGGGATGGAGTGTATTTTTAAGAACTGTTCCATCCTTTGGGGATTAGTTGGTTTTGCTTTGCATATTCTGTGCTTCTTGACAAAAGTGTGGTTTATTGACTTTAAGGATTCAATTAGTGTGCATTCGAATCTTCATGGTACTGACAGAAAACTTACTGTGACTTGCAGTGACTAGTCAGATGCTACCTACTGAAACACCAGTCATCAGCTTTTTTACGTATTTATTAGACAAAACTGATGAATTAGTTGGGTACTCAGAAGTTTGGAAAGACTATTATGCATAAACTTAACTGTTGTATGTAAACTTCCATTCTCCTGTGATGCTGTTAGGCTTTATACAAATATATTTGTAACATCCAAGTATTTAAAAGCATCATGATTATCTTATTAATTCTCTGAACTGTACTTTGGTCCTGGAGTGAAGTTCAGGAAGTGATATCCTCCTAACTTTCCGTGGGAAGGAATGTGAAGTGCAAGAAGCCATGCTGTTATTAACCAAATAAAATTATCAGTTACAGTATTCCAGTGTGATTCTGAGGAGGTGGGAAAACAAAACAAAACAGTCCATCCTTGCTGCCCAAGCAGGTAACAATGGTTGCTCTTTGAGTTGTGGTGGGTGCAGTTGCTTGATGCCAGTGCTAAATTGGTACAACTATAAAGCCTCATTTTCACTGAGCCTCTGCTTGCTTTTTTTCTGCACAATCATGTAATCCTCTGTGTTTGGTCTTTGAGTACTACATGTGTATTTTTCAGACAATTAGTTTTGAGCAATAAAGTTTGATATTATAAATATGCACCAGTGTGATCAGTATTACCATGGCTTAAGCATATCTAGAAAAACGAACTCTTATTCCTTGAGTGCTGTAGGTGTGTTAATAGAAATTAAATTAGTGCAGGCTCACTGGTTAGGGAAGTACTTGATCACCTTTTTGGTAAGGAATTGAATGTTTAAATGGTTAAGCACTTGGAATACATTACAATGTCTTCTTGAACTGGGATTTGTATTTTTACTGAACTGATGTCAAGGTTGGCAATGTCTCAGCCCAAAGTGCTGCTTGTGGTACCTGTTGTCACTGGACAGGTGGGTGTCAGCACAGCTGTGGGCTGCAGGTTTTGCTGGTTTTCAGGCCACATTAAGCGTGCAGCAGAAGTATGTTTGGTAAGTTGAGATTGAAGATGGTTTTTCCTTCTCACAGTCAGTGTTGTCTGCTCTGTGGTGTGGATCACCATCTGTTCATGGCAGCACCTGGAGAGGGGCTCCTGCCTGGAGAGCACCCTGTGCCAGGGGACTCAGCCAGGTCTGTCCCCACCCCGGTACCTGCACGGGAAGTGCAGCTGCAGGGGCTGAGTGTTGGGGGGGGGGATTTGTCTCAAACACAACCTGCCTTTGTCTCCTGCTGCCCAGGGCTACGGCTCAAACAGCTGGGCAGACACCCGAGGAGATGCTTTGGAGTCCAGGGCGCAGGTTTGGTACAGAGCACCTGTGTCCAGCAGTATTTCAGTTATAACCCAGCCACTGAAGGAGATGAGGTAACAGTCCTTGTTTTGTCACTGCACAGCTCTTCCAGAAACACCTTCTGTGAGGCCAAGGTTACCCTTCCAGAGTTGCTGCAGGAGCAAAACACCCCCTGTGGGGCTTGAGTTCTGGAGATTGCTGTGCCATGGGAGGTACTCGACTGACAGCACCCCCTGAGCAGCCTCACTGACACTCAGAGGAGGAGGAGCCTCTTGACCAGAAATGACAAGTTTCTTGGTATGAGATGATCTTTAAGGTCCCTTCCAAAACAAACCATTCTGTGATTCTACAATAACGAAATTCAGTTGATACGATGAAAGAACTTGAAGCCTTGCACCTACTCTCCTGTACAGATTTATTTCCTGGCTATTACAGACACGATGTTACTGACACAGCTGGCAAGGCAAAGTGGTTTGTGCCCAGTGTCTGAGTCAGGATGCCTCGCTGTCCTGGGCTGCAGCATCTCCATGGGCAGCAGCTGCCTGTCCCCTGTCCGAGGGCACAGCTCCAGGGGCAGCAGCTGCCTGTCCCCTGTCCGAGGGCACAGCTCCAGGGGCAGCAGCTGCCTGTCCCCTGTCCGAGGGCACAGCTCCAGGGGCAGCAGCTGCCTGTCCCCTGTCCGAGGGCACAGCTCCAGGGGCAGCAGCTGCCTGTCCCCTGTCCGAGGGCACAGCCCCAGGGGCAGCAGCTGCCTGTCCCCTGTCCGAGGGCACAGCTCCCGCTGCAGGTGGAGCGGCCGAGCTGCCGTTGGCGTATTCCACGCGCTCGAAGCAGAGCAGCAGCTCGCAGTGCCGGGTCTGGGGGAACAGATCCACGGCCATGGCTCGCACAGGGCGGAAAGAGGCTCCTTTCACCCTGTTGGACGGGGCCCGGCACAGGCTGAATGGGAAAGGGATAAGAAATGTATCCATGTTTTAGTCTGCCAAGAGTTCCCCCCTCCCCAGCAAGCACCCTTTGTCATCTTCAGGTATTTCCCAAGTCAACCTAATGCAAGAAACACTCACTCCACAAAGTTGTTCATCGCAGCTCTGGGGTTGCAGGAGACATAGATGAGCTTCTTCAGATGTTCAGCTCTTCTAATGGCAAGAATTACCTTGGAATCTGGATGATCAAAACCAAGACAGCTGTTTACTGGCTCTGTGAGCAGCAACAGCCTGGCAGAGAAATTCCAGGTTCTGCCCCAGCAGGAACGAACTGCTGCACTACCCCGTGGACTCAGGCTGTACCTGAAGCCTCCACCTCCTTTGTTGATGTTTCCTTGGTTCCCCACCCACCACCCCTGAGGAGAAGAGCCCAGCTGGGAACTCACGCAGCCCTGCTCGTGGGGGATCCACAATGGTGACCAGGTTCTGAGGAGCCAGCACGTTCATCAGGGAAGGGACAACATCTTCTGCCTTCCCACAATAAAATTCAACATTGTTCAGTTCTGTAAGTACAAGAAAGGATGTCAGAGTACTTACAAAGCATTTTCAGTACACTACATTGGATATTAAGTTCTGATGCGTTAGAAACTACAAATTGTTTAATCTGCCATGAAATCAGTGTAATTTAAACAACCACTGTTATTTCAGATCATTTAAACAACAGTAATTTGAGTGTCTTCCATTATCTGGATAAAGCAAAACCTCACAACCAACAGTTAATATTAATGTTTTATTTAGGAGGATAACTGTGGCTTCATTTCACTTCTACACTGAACTGTTTTACTTTTGAAGAAGGAAAAAAAGCTAGTTTTTAGTCAATGGGCGAACTGACCTCGTGGGCTAACATGGTATTTGTTTTCCAGAGAGATTAAGTGTTTAAAATGGACAAGATCACTATCAACAACATGTAATTCCAGGCTGCTGAGATAAGGTAAAGAGCAACTGGCTGTACAACCACTTCTTAACAAACAGAGCATTTCAGCTGAACTCACCATTGATCTGGGCATTGGCTTTGGCATCCTGCACAGCTTCCTGGCAGAGTTCAATTCCAATCACCTTCTTCACTTTCTACAGAATAAGGGAAAAGCTCCCCCTGTGTAAGTTGAACCCATTTTGTAGCATCAGCCATTAACGTGAACTTTACCTCTGTGACCAGGTACCAGGCATTGCCTTGCAGGCAGAGAAAAGGCTGAGAAGGGACCTGTGCAAATCCACAGTGACTTTTTCAACTGGGAACTGTGGGATGAGCACTCTTTATCCCAGGTGGGACAGACTCCTTACGCTGCCATCTTTCTCTTTTGGGGTCGGAGTTCCCCCCTGCTCTGACCAACTCCACTCTAACCAGTGTAGGAAACGGTGCTTGGTCAGAGCCAGAGCGTTCTGAGAAAGCCCAGCCTGAATTAGTTCAGAGTAATTTTGGCTGCTCAACATTAGAGTGAGCTTCCATAATGACTTGGTAAAACAGCTGCAGGCACGTTAATTAGAACTTGCTTGAAAAAAGTTATGATACAATGTGTTGCATTTCAGGTGTATCAAGTATTTTCTTTCATTGTAACCACCTTAAAATTAGCTAAAAAAAGCAGTTAACCCAGGTTGTGTGCAGGGAGAGGGATGGCTCACCTTGGCCAGGGAAATGCCGATGGTTCCCGTGCCACAGCAGATGTCCAGCACGGTGCTGTCAGGGCTCAGCTGGGCCCACTCCCCGATGGCCGTGTACAGAACCTCTGCAGCCTGCGTGTTCACCTGGAAATGCCCAACGGATACACTCGTCATCAACAGTAAATGTGTTCTAATGAGCCTTAGTAAAGCATGTTTGCTTGGTCCTAAGAAACAAGTCAGCTTCAGGTGTAAGTTAACACACGTATTTAGTACTGCAAGATTCCCAAACCATCCACTGCATGCTCAGTGTTACCAAAAGGCTGCCATGAAGCAGGAGGCAAACAAAATGAATTCCTATAAAGAAAAAGTTGTCTTTAGTGTGCTCCTATCACGTTTACACTCGATCACTGCTTTTACAGCCAAAAGAGAGATTTAATCACACCAAATATAAAAGATTAAATCTCTAGATATATAATATCTTGTTCCACAGCATTAGTCAAGGGCATTAATGCAAATCCAGTGAAATCAGGAACTTCACATCATCCTTACCTGAAAAAATGCATGAGGAGAAATTCTAAATTTTAGGCCAAGAAGTTCTTCATATATGTACTTGTCACCAGCCACATGCTCCAAAGGCAGGTCTTCGAGATTGGGAGATTTCCTGAGGGTGGGGGAAGAATGGGGAGAAACAAAAAGAAATCACACATGTCTGTTACAATTTTTACCACAGCTCCAGTCACCCCAAAAACTGTAGTGCTACATCCTAAGCAGTAACATTTATCTCTCTTAGAGACTCTTCTTGGTCATTTATGTCCTGCAGTGTGCAACTGTTCCACTGCTGGTTGCTGTGGGACCTGCACTGTCTCGGGATGAAGGTGTGAGCCTTGTGCTCTGTGAGGGAGGAGGGGGAGATTAAAAGAATCACATAAATAGGGAAGGATAATAATAAACATCCATCTACTGCAGTAAACACTTCCACAGCCTGACAGCCAGCAACAACTGGTGGGTTCACCCACTGAAACCTGCCTGCCTTCATCCAGAGGATGGGGAATTCCAAGTCTCTTGGAAAAGGTGAGTAACTTGCAGAAATGAGTAACACTGATGCTGCTCCTCTGAAATAGCCAGACAAGGCTGTGCAAGTGCTACTGCTGTTCTGCAACACAGAAAATGCAGCCTCCACCGCAGCCCCCCAGAGACGTCACCTCCCTCACCTTTGTCCCTCCTCCACGAAGTACAGAGAGGTGACTCCACTGCTCCGTCCCAGCCCTTCTGTGAAGTATTGTGCCAGAGAGCATTTCAGGTCAGCTAGCTCCTCTTTACTTAATTTCTACAGTTTCATTGGAAAGAAGGGAGAATCATCATGTGAGTGAATTGAAGATACGATGCAGCGTGTCCTGTTTATAACCACATGAATGACTTCCACGCATCAGTCTAAAGAGAACTGGAGTAGCAATGCAAGGCAGAATACACCGAGTAATTCCATTTCCCCTGTGCATGCACAGACCCCAGAACCAGGTGTGATCACTCCCAGGCTGTGTCTGGCTGCACAGGTGAATGAGTGCAGTACCTGGGGGTTGAAGTAGGCGATGGCCATGACGTGGCCGCTCCTGCTGGTGCGCACAGTGAGCTGCTTCCAGTGCCCAGCGTAGGTTTCTGGGCTGTAAACCGAGTAGGGAGTTGACCTGCAAGCAGCAGAAACTCAGTTATTTATACACTGAAGTATTTGTTTTGCATAACATTAAACAGTTAATT